GGGCTTTTTGGAATCTAGGGTTTTACCTCCCCTTTGGAAAAGTTAAGAACCATGACCTGGGTCAGAGCAGCAGAATGAGGCAGCCTGGAACCCAGACGTCCTGACCTGGAGTTTTTCTCTCTCCTCAATAGTCAGAACTTTTCAGGCTCTGAAACGTGGTCCCAGAATTCGTGTGTGTGTGTGTGTGTGTGTGTGTGTGTGTGTGTGCTGAGTGGGGCAGGAGATCTTTGAAAAGGGACAGTTGTTTTGATTCCATAGGAGGGGGAGGTAGGCAATGTGGACCAACGACCAACAAGACTGCACGCCAGGCTAGAAGTCCGGGGAGCCCATTCACTGAATATGGAATGTCTGGGTTTCTTTCCCTCCTAAATCCTCTGCGAGAGGCTGGGTAACATAGTGCGTTAGATCTTTGGTGACAGCCAGTCTTGGGTTCAGTTCTATTGTTTACTAGCTGAGCAACCTTGGATACAAGTGGGGCTTAACCCCTGGGGTCCCAATTTCCACCTCAGCAAAATGGGACAATAACAGAATCAATCTCTTATGGTTGCGTCACAGCATTGAGCACATAGTAGCACATAAGGAACCAGTTTCATACATATGTATGTATGTCTCATACATAATGGGTTGCAAAAAATCATTTATTGATTATTTTGAGCCCAAACATTTTTATGTGCCTGTATTTCATTGAAATGCCACCATTTCTCTTTATGATAGGTACTGTTACAATATTATAAAATTTGTAAGGCAACCTAACTAACACTAATGGCATACAGTCGGGACTTGAAAGCTACTAGTGAGAGTTCTTAAAGAAAAAAATATGAAAAAGGAGCTTTGCAAGGTGTAAGGTGCCGCACAAGTTTTCATTACAATTGTTACATCCCTCTTGTGGTAATAATTCTTTATTATTTTTTTGGAGCTACTATGATGGTACCCTAGTTACCGTGGCCATGGAAACGCGGCCCGCCTTCCCGGGTTGGACAGGTCGCGGGCTCCCCCTGGAGGTTATCTTCCGTACCTGCGGCGGGACGACTGGGCGGGCCATTGAGAGGGGCGAGAGGGGAGTCGGGAGCTGTAGGCGAAGGGAGGTGGCTGCCGCGGAGCGATGCACGCCGGGAGCTGTAGTTCTCAGGAGGCGGTGGGCCGCCCCAGACCCAGCTCGTCCCGCTCCTGGATGGCGGCCGAGACGCGTGGCTGCCGGCCCTGGGGCTCTCTCCTTCTCGGGCTGCTCGGGCTGGTCTCGGCCGCGGCTGCCGCCTGGGACCTGACTTCGCTGCGCTGCAACTTCGGCACCTTCTGCGAATGTGACTTCCAGCCCGACTTCCAGGGTGAGGAGCGGAGGGGAGGAGAGACCCGAGAGCCCACGGACTCCCGCGTTGCGCTGGGACCGGATCTGCTGGGTAGAACCGAAGGGCGGAACCCGTAGGCTTCTGGACGGTCAGGGCCGGAAGTGGGCCTGGCGCTGAGGGACATTTGACAGGCCGGGGCATGGAACTTGGGGCGAGGGTTTGAGGATGCCCGTTTGGGGGAGAGGCCTTTGACAGCGGAGCCTTTGGAGAGGTTTAGGCCTTCACAGTCGAAGGGCCGTCAGGAGAGAAGCCTGCTTTGGGGATGGACAGAGGGTTCTGGGGCAGACCCTGTTGACATTTCGCACCTACTTAGGGCTGAGCGCAATGCAGAGGGAGGCCTGGTGGGGGCGCTGCCGAGCTGAATCAGGCCTATGGGTGGCTTCTGCTGCCAGAGACCCCAAGGGCCTCCCTTGCTTCCCGCAGACATCTCGAAAATGTCCCATACCACAGGGATCCATCCCTAGGCCAGGTTCCAGATATCACTTCCCCCATGAACCTCTTCCGTGGCGGAGGCGCGTCCTCGGCTCTGACACTGTCCTTCTTGCGGCCCTAGGTCTGGAGTGTGACCTGGCCCAGCACCTGGCAGGCCAGCACTTGGCCAGGGCGCTGGTGGTGAAGGCACTGAAGGCCTTCGTGCAGAACCCGGCACCCTCTAAGCCGCTGGTCCTCTCCCTGCATGGCTGGACAGGCACTGGCAAGTCCTATGTCAGCTCCCTGCTGGCACACTACCTCTTCCGGGGTGGCCTCCACAGCCCCTATGTGCACCACTTCTCCCCCGTCCTCCACTTCCCCCATCCCAGCCACTTGGAGCGCTACAAGGTAGGCTGGTTGCATCTCGGATCATTCTGCACCACCCGGTGCCGTGCCCTAGGGAGTGAGTCCTAAGCCCAGAGAGGGGGATTCACTTGCTCCAGGCCACGCAGCCAGCTGGAGCTAGCCTTCAGGACGCATCTGGAACAGAGATTGTGTTGGTGCCATTCTGCCTGGCAGGGAGTTAGTTCTCACTTTAATTCCTGGGTGGTGGGGGAGCACAGTGGTACCTGCCTGCCAGGTTTGATGTGAAGGACATGGGATTATATAATTATAGGTATTAATTATTGAGCACTTAACCTTTGCCAGACAGTCTGCACTGCCTTCTCTCTGTTGGTGCCAATTTGAGGCTCGGAATAAGTACTTAGTAAATACTAGCTCTTACTACTACTACTACCATTAGTATTGCAGTTATTGGTTACAAGGTACTTCGCAGGCTGATCTGTTTCACCTGTCAAAATGGCAGAGGAAGTTCACGAGGGCAGGAAGGAGCCTCTCCCTTTTGTGGAAAGCAGCAGGTGTCAGGAAGGTGTCCTGCAGGCAGGTGTCATGTCCTGCTGACTTGCTGTTGGAGCGTGGACTGGTCTCCGCCCCTGCCAGGGCCATAGTTTTGCCACCAGTCACATTAAGGGGTCGGTGGCCTCTGCGAGACCCTGTCTTCTTGGAAAGGGGGTTAGTTCTCGCCTTGGGAAGCAGCGGGGCCAGGAGAGAAGCCGCATTCCCCTCAGACTCCTGCCTGTCTCCCGCAGAAGGACCTGAAGAGCTGGGTCCAGGGGAACCTCACTGTCTGTGGCCGCTCTCTCTTCCTCTTTGATGAGATGGACAAGCTCTCCCCAGGCCTGGTGGAGGTCCTGCGACCTTTCCTGGGCCCCTCCTGGGTTGTGTATGGGACCAACTATCGGAAGGCCATCTTCATCTTCATCAGGTGGGGTGCCGCTGGGTGGTGGGCATAGGGGCGGGGGCACTTAGGGGTCTCCACCTGGTGTCCCACAGCAGAGACCGTCCCCCTGGGCCCAGTCAGACTTTCCCAAAGCCCTACACCCTCTCCATAGTGACCCTGCCATTCAAGGTGGTTGACTCCCCCTTCGATAATCTCAAAGCCTATTCTGGGCTCAGTCCTTTTGGTCCTCACTGTCTCGTTGTGGAAGCCCCTCTGGGTCAAGAGTTTTCCCTCTTTTTGTGGCCTGGGAGAAACAGAACTAGGGCTCTAGTCCCACCACTAAGAGTCCTCGCTGCGCTTCCTCCCGCCAAGGACTTCATCTCTCTGAGCTCCCATCTCCTCTCTGCACAGCAGGGCTGAATGAAACCCTCATCCTCCTGGAGGCTGGGTGAGGAGAAGTCAGTGAAGGGACACGGAAATGTGTTGTAGACTGTAAAGTGCACGGCGCCTGTAGGTGAATCTCCAGGGGTCATGGTTGTGGACCCAGGCTCTGGAGAGGGGAAGTGCTTCCGCTGGTGTGTTTTCAGCGGGTTGGCTCCTGCTGGCACTGAGCTGGATCCCCAGGCTCCGATTGTGTCAGGTGGCACATGGGAAGCAGGGCCAAATCCTGCCCCTCACTGCCTGAGTCTTGGCCCGGGTCCCCACGGTTTTAGCAACACTGGAGGCGAGCAGATCAACCAGGTGGTACTGGAGGCGTGGCACAGCCGCCGGGACCGCGAGGACATCCGCCTGCAGGAGCTAGAGCCGGCCATCTCCCGGGCTGTGCTGGACAACCCGCAGCGTGAGTTCGGCTCAGGGCCCCGCCCGGGTGGCCCCAGCAGGCTGGGCCTCACACCCAGACCCGTGGGGCTGGAGTCTGACGCTCTGCTCACTGACCCACTACTTCGCAGGCCGGGCTCTGGTGCTCCCAGATGTCACACAGCCTCCCTGAGCCAGGGCCCAGAAGGGGGCTGAGAGTCTCGAACCTACATGGGGGGCCCCCCCCCACCCCAGGGACAGCAGCCCAGCTTCTGTGAAGCGCAGCTCCTTTTCCCGTCGTCCCTTCCTGCAGATGGCTTCTGGCGCTCGGGCATCATGGAAGAGCATCTCCTGGACGCCCTGGTCCCCTTCCTGCCGCTCCAGAGACACCATGTGCGGCACTGCGTCCTCAACGAGCTGGCCCAGCTGGGCCTGGAGCCCAGGGAGGAGGCTGTCCAAGCCGTGCTGGACAGCACCACCTTCTTTCCTGAGGATGAGCAGCTCTTTTCCTCCACCGGCTGCAAGACTGTGGCTTCTCGAATTGCCTTCTTCCTCTGACTCTGCAGGTGGCATCCTTGCCCTTCTCTACCTGGCCAGGCCATGCAGGGATGCCCGGCACCTCTGCCAGAGGGACCCTGGTCCTGAGCCTCCTGGAAAGCGGGGCCCAGAGCACAAATGAAAGATGAGAAGTGTCGGCCAGGCCAAGACGGAAGGCCAGGGTGGGCCCTGGCCTCTTAACTGGTCTGAGGACATCTTGGCCTTTGCTTCCTTCCCCAGGGGAAAGTGCTGGTCATCCCAGCACCTCCATGAGCCTTGACCTTGCCCTCCAGCCTGAGCCTCCTTAAAATGTGAATTGTAACTCAGGGACTGTGGCTCCCGGCGCTCCCTCCCTCCTTAGCCTTTACCTGGGACCGTCCTGCCACCGTCCCCCCCCCCCGAGTCCCAGGATGGTAAAGCCAGGGTGAGGCCTCTCAGTCTCCATGAATGGAGGGGCTCCAGCTACCACTTGAGCCTAGTTTTTAAAGTTTTTAATTTTGTAAAAGAAGAGAACAAATAAACTTAGCCATGGGACCAGAGTAATGTCTGCTGAGGTTTCTCATTGCTGAGTGTGACTGCGGTAGAATATTTTCTGTCTCTAGCAAGCAGGGAGGGGCTTGGTGGCCCCTTCAGAGAACAGTGGTGCTGTCAGAGCTGGAGCTTTGCTGGATTTTGCTGGGGTTCTGGCTCAGGTCCTGGGTGGCCTCAGTATTGCCGGGGCTACTACTTGGGTCATAGAAAGCCTTGGTCTTGCTGGAACTTCGGATCAGTCCCCAGCTCTGGCCGTGAGCAACCTTGGTCTTTCTGAGCCTCTGCCTTGGGCCTCTGGCGGTCTTGGTCTTTCTGAGCCTTTGCTCTGGGCCCTGGGTAGCCTCAGTCTTGCTGGGCCTGTGACTCTGGCTCTGGCTCTGGGTGGCCTTGGTCTTGCTGGGCTTTTGCCCTGGGCCCTGGGTGGCCTCAGTCTTGCTGGGCCTGTGACTCTGGCTCTGGCTCTGGGTGGCCTTAGTTTTCTTAAAGCGGCGGCTCAGGCCTAGGGCTTCCCTGTGGGTAGCCACGTCAGCAAACTGAGCGTTCGGTAGGGAGGAATCCGTGAGGGTCCCAGTGGAGGCTGTGGAGCTCCTGTACTCCCGACAGCTGGTGGACGTCTCTATGTCTGAGGTCGGCAGGGTCCTGACTGCAAAGGGTGTGTCAGTGCACCCCTCAGGCCCCTCTCCCTGGGCAGCTCAGGAAAGGAGGCTCTAGGCCTCGCCCTTGCCTGCCCCCAGAGGCCTCGAATGGCCAAGGGGAAGGCCTGCTACAGCCCAGCAGCCCGGCAGCCCACCGGCCCTCAGCCACATGAGCCCTGTAGTCCTGGCCTCTGTGGTGCTGCCGCCCCCTGCCCTCCAAATCCAGCCACAGCCAACAGCCTGCACTCCACTGGACAGCTGCACTCCGCCCTTCCCACAGTCCACTAACCCCTGCTCCTCCCTCAGGTCCTGAAGCCCTCTCCCGCGCCCCCCCCCCGCCCCGGACCTCGCACCCGCAGCCATCCACCGTGTGTCACACTGTTCTGGTTGTCTACCTGCCGCTTTCCCCTCTGGACCAAAGCTCCCCGGGGCAGGGACTGGGCCATTCATGCCTGTGACTAGTGTATGGCAGAGCCCAGCCCTGGGACTCGACGGCTGGTTTGAATGGCACTGAAGAAGGACAGGGCCAGCCGCTGCTATTTTTGTCCCTACCCTGGACCGCTCACACCTGTCCCTGGGACTCTGTTAGAAGCAGCATTCCTGGGTGTTTGGCTTTTGTCCCTTCCACGCTAGTGCCTGGAAGAACCAGGGGTAAAAGCCCCTTGGATGTGCATAGGGTTTATGTGCTTATTTTGGGGAAGGGTAAGGGGGCAGAGGGGAGACTGGCCTGAGGCGGGAGTGAGGGGCTGTCATGAAACCTGGTCCAGGCTTGAACTGGGCATCACCTCCCTGGGGGCTCAGCACGCCCCCTGCGAAGGTGGGATTATACTCCTGCTTTAGAGTCACACGGAGCCCACGCTCACACCCAGGCCAGGGAGTCTCTGACCCCTGACTTTTGCCCACTCTGCTGCTTTGGCTCACAGGCCTGGCAGGAGCATGGGCGACTCACAGCCTGAGATGGAGTCCGAAGAGGTCTGGTCAGCGTAGCTGTCGGACAGGGACCTCGCCTTGCTAGGAGCGGGCTCTGGCTTCTCCTAGGGAGACAGATGGCTGGGCAGTCAGGCCGCAGGGAGCCCCGGGTCAGTGGCTGTAGCTCTGGAAGGCCGGCAGGTGTTGGGACCTTCAGTGACTGGTCCCCTTGAGTTTAGAGCTTCTCAGGGCTCCCGGATCTGGGCGGTGGAGGGTAGGGAGGTAGGGGACAGGGAGAGGCTGAGACTGGATAGGAAGGGGAATGGCCAGCCCAGACAGGCATGCTGCTGTGAGCAAGGCAGTGTCCCCATCTGCAAAACGCAAACTCATTCAAATCTAGAACAGGCTTCTGTAAACTGTGAAGTGCGGTGTCCCGGGGAATGGCCCCTGAGGGACTGAGGAGCTTCTCCTTGCTTTACATGTCTTATCCCATTTCATTCTCCCCACGTCTGGGAGGAAACTCCCACTATTACCATTTCACAGACCAGGGAACCAAGGCTGTGAGCGCCTAAGCAGCCTGCCCAGGGCGCTCAGCGAAGGGGAAGCTGGGCTCGAATCCGGGTCTGCGGTCGCTGGTCTCCTCTGGCCCGTCCACACCTGTGGCCCCCGGGGGAGCGGGCAGAGGCGCGGAGCGCTAGCAGCGCTAATGCGCAGGCGCCAGCCCAGCGCCTCCGGGGGGAGGGGCTCAGGATGACTTCACGGGGCACACAGACCAAAGTTCTGTATTTTCTTATTCTTCTGTGAGCTAGAAAAATGTTGAGCTAGCCTTTTCCATTTATGGCGCAGGATTCTGGGAGCCCGTTTCCTTCAATTGTGTAAAGTGTCCTCGCACGCTGGTTTGCACGCTGGTTTACACGCTGTCCCACAGCAGCGGATTTGGGAGTGAACTGCGGGGTAGTCACGGGAGAGAATTCTCCACGGCAGTGACATTGCGCAGTCGGCCCGGGTGCGTGTCAGACACTAACGCAGGGAGCGGAGCCGGGAGGCAAACGGACGGTCCCCTGAACGGCAGGTACGCTGCCTTTGGTGCTAGGTGGCATGGGGCAGACTAAGGGAGGGGCCTCGAAGAGGGGGCTGGGGAGCTTCTGGGGAGTGTTCTTTCTGAATGTGGGTGATGATGCCATGCGTGTGTTCGGTTTGTGAAAATTCATCAAGCAGTTCACTTATGATTTCTGGGCTTTTCTGTATGTTACACTCGATACAGTTTTTAGACATGGATTTCATGGTTAAGAAAACTGGCACAACACCTGGCTGGTGTAACTCAGTGGATTGAGCGCGGGCCTGCGAACCAGACAATCGCGGTTCGATTCCCAGTCAGGGCACATGCCTGGGTTGCAGGCCAATTCCCTGCAGGCCAGTTCCCATCAGGGGATGCACAAAAGGCAACCCTACATTGATGTTTCTCTCCCTCTCTCCTTCCCTTCCCCTCTAAAGATAAATAAATAAAGTCTTTAAAAAATAAAAAAAGAAAAGAAAACTGGCACGAAAACTGGCAGGAGCGGCGGCCAGTGCACACAACAGCATTTGCAAGGGTGAGTGTGGGCGGGGTATGAGAAGGCCTCCCTGGGAGGGGCCTCGTCCTCAGGTGCAGTCCCCCAGGGGGACCCCTTGCTTGTTCCATCCAACCTCACAGCAAGAGATCCCCAGCCCACGTCACACAGCTGAGCAGCGACACAGCCAGGCCTGGAAGCCAGCCTCTAGCCAGCCTGCACCTCGGCCCTGGCTTGGGGTGTATTCCCCACCGGATGGACCTCAAAGGCTTTGGCATGGGGCCCACTCACCTCCTTCTTGGGGCCCTTGGCCTCCTCTGGGTGTCTGGGCTCAGCCTGCAGGGCCTGGGGAGGGGAGCCCGGCTCCTCGGAGGGCTCCAGCAAAGGGGGCTCCTGCTTCCACGAGAGCTGCAGGGCCTGGGCCTTCTGGCGCTCCAGTTCCCGCCTCCTGAGCTGCCTGCCCGGCCGTGGCCCCAGAGCACTGAGTGAGTCTCCCTGACCCACCCCACCATCCCCAGGACTGGACACTGGCCTGAGGGAGCAGCTGGGGCCAGAGGAGCCTTGAGCCCCAGTCACTCCCACTCCTGCTTGAGGAACCTACCCCAGGACGCCTTCGGAGATGCTGTCCTGACGCCTGCTTTCCACCGCCCGACTCAGCTGCAACCTAGCCAGGTGGGCCACCTGGGTGCCAAGCACCTCCTCCATTGACATGCCCGAGAAGAGGTCAGTCATCAGCGGAAGCAGCTGCCAGAAAAGGGGTGACCAGAGTGAGGTGAGGGCCAGGGCAGGGGCCACCAGGAGAGGGGGCTTTCCAGCCCTTGCAGAGTCCTTTTAGAGGGCTGAAGAAGGAAGAGTTCATAAATTGATATTTTTGTTTTTTTTTTAATTATTATTTAATTATAGAGGGAGGTAGAAAGAGGGAGGGAAACATTAGTGTGCGAGAGAGACATGGCTTGGTTGCCTCTCAATGCCCCCAGCTAGGGCCCCAGCCCACAGCCCAGGCATGTGCCCAGACTGGGAATCGAACCAGCGACCTTTCGGTTTGCAGGCCGGCACTCAATCTACTGAGTCACATCAGTCAGAGCAAATTGTTGTTTTTAAAGGGCTGGACCTTTTCGCCCCTGAACTGCGAGGAGACCATGAGAAAGGAGCTATTCGGAGAGAGGACGCTGCTGCTGTGGGTCTAGCCACGGGCTCTGAGGCCAGGCAGATCAGAGTCTAACCTTTAAGCTGTGTGACCCGGGCCAAGGGAACTGGCTCCTCTGAGCCCTCCCTTCTTTGCCTGTAAATTGGGAAATGATAATATTACCTGCCTGTGGGGCACTGAAGTGCTCCAGACAGAGCCACACAAGTAGAAGTGATTAGGACAGTGCCTGGCACACCGTAAATGCCCCGGCGTTAGCAGCTCTTATTAGTTGCTAGGGAACCAAATTTCTTTTAGGGACAGGGAGTATCTTTAGCTGGCCGGGGATATTGACTCTGGAGTCCACCCTCCAGGCCCCCAGCAGGAACCCACCTTCGGTTGCTTAGGGTCAAGGAGCAGGGCAGTGGCAACATCCTGGCGGGCCCCAAAAACGTTCTGCGTGAGCAGCCGGATCCTGGCTCGGTGCAGGTAGTACTGCGCCCTCTGGGGGCTGTGCTGGATGGCCATCGAGAAGTGGTTCTCTGCCTTCTGGAACTGCCTGCGAGAGAGCGAGAGAGCGAGAGAGCGGAGCGAGAGAGCAGGCCCTGGCTGCAGTGAGCTAGGCCACCTCGGGGGAAATCGCAGCTTCTGGGCTCCACCGGGGAGTCTGGGGAACACCAGGCTGGTCTCCACTCCCTGCCACTGTGCTCCTCTGCTCTGCTTCTACCAGCTACACTTTTGATGCACCCGGTGCTCAAATGCTAATGTAAAACCCCAATAGAAGTGGAAATTGTTATGGTCTTGGATTAGGGAGTGCCTTTCTGAGAATGTCATACACCTAGCAGCTAAAAATTAAAAAATTAAATTGAGTCCTCACTAGCATGGCTCAGTGGATTGAGTTCTGGCCTGTGATCCAAAGGATCACTGGTTCAATTCCCAGTCAGGGCACACGCCTGGGTTGTGGGCCAGGTCCCCGGTGGGGGTGCGTGAGAGGCAGCCACACGTTGATGTTTCTCTCCCTCTCTTTCCCTCTCCTTTCCCCTCCCTCTTTCTAAAAATAAGTGCATAAAATCTTAAATAAATAAATAATAGAAAAATAGTCTTGGCCCTGGCCTGGTAGCTCAGTTGGTTAGAGTACCATCCCCGCACACGGAGGTGTTGGGCCAGTGCCTGCTGAGGGCACATGTAAGAGTCACCCAACAAGTGCATGAGTAAGTGGAACAACGAATCAGTGTCTCTCCCTCTCTCTTTGTAAAAATCCATTAAAAGTAAAAATAAAAATGAAAAATAGCCTTAATAGCCCCCACTACTGAGATTTGGGGAAACCAAGACTCTTTTTCCTGGGAGAAATTTATACTGGTTCACTGTTTTTGGAGAACATTTGAATATGATATACACTGTTAAATTTCCACACTCTTTCACCCAACGATTTAACTTTTGGCAAACTAACTGTTTGTTACTAGTGTGAGTGCATGAAAACTTATGTTCTGAGTGCTCATTACTACATTATTTACGGTAAAAAACTGAACGCACACAACCATTCATCAGCAGTAAAGTGGGTAAGGTAAATACATAAAGCACAATCCTCTATGGTTCCTCCATAGAGTGGAATACTATACAGTCAGTAAAGAGAGAATGAGGGAGTCCCATGCGGTGGGAAGTAAAAAAGTGAGCAAAACACAATTTGGCACGGTCCCCCTTTTGTAAATGATAATTGTTAGTACATGCATTGGAAAAAATCTAAAGGAATCTTTCCCAAAGTTGGGGGGTGGGGAGGCATCCGAGGTGGATATTAGAAGGAACTCTCATGTTCTCAATTATAACTTACTGAACACTTCAGTTTTTTATAAAAAGTACAATTACCATAATATTCAGGAAAAAGAAAATGATTTTTAGTGAACACTTGGAAAGTAAAATCTACATTTAGGAGAGAAGCATCTTGACCCAAGGATCCCAACTTGCGGCTCCTTGCCAGGACCCGCTCGGCCCCCGCCCGGACACACCTCCTCTTCTGCTCGCAGAAACCCATCTTCTCCTGCAGTAGGCCCATGCGCAGGTTGGTGTCCTCGTCCTGCGGGCTCAGAGCCAGCGCCTGCCGGTAGTCCGCCTCGGCAAAGGTCAGGTTGCCCAGCTGGAAGAAGCAGTCTGGGGCCCGGATCCGGCGGCACGGGCTCAGTGGACCCAGAGTCCGGGAGCCCCGCTCAACCTGCTCCACCCCCCTGGGGGCGGGGCCTGAAGCTGGTAGCTGGTAACACCAGCGGACGCTTTCTGTGCCTGATTTCGGAGCAGTCCTTAGACAGGCCGTCAAAGGCAAAGCTTCCCCAAGTATGTCTGTGGGTCACTGAGACTCTTAAATGTTTCCTCTTCCCCTCCTCCCTGCCCTCCTCCCTCAAGGGCCTCAAGTGCCCAGCCCAGGCCTTGGAGAGGCAGGGGCTCTGGGCCGGCCAGCCCCCACTCACCGCCGCGGTTGACATAGAGGCCTTTCTCCTGCTGCTCGCCCTTGAGGGCCTTGTTGAGCAGCAGCACGCTCTCCTGGTAGGCCCCCTGCAGGTAGCAGTGCACCGCGAAGTCATTGTAGGCCAGCAGCAGCTGGCGCTGGGCCTGCTGCACCATGTCCTCCTGGTGCGGCTTCATCATGTCCAATGCTTTCAGGAGGTCCTCCAGGGCGGCATCAAAGTCCTGCAGCCGTCGGTACATGGTGCCCCTATGGGGAAGGGACATGAAGGCCACAGCACCGCCATTGACGGGGGTGGCTGGGCAAGCCACTGCCTACCCTGGGCCTCTGACCTGTGGAGCTGGTGGCCAGGGACAGGGTGTGTTGGGGGGGACCCTGGACCTTCACTGGGTTTGGCCTGTGGGGTCTGCAGTACTACTCAGATAACCTGCTAGTAACTAGCAATTTTATTTTTCTCCAAAATAGCTTCCCTCTTTCTTTTTGGGAGCCGGGTGCACCCCAGCCTTCACACGAAGGCCTTTCTGTACACAGCACAGGTGTTTCACCCCCACTGCTCATATGGGAAAACCAAGGCTCAAGGGAGTTTAACGGCCCTGAATCAGGTGGTGAATGCTTGTCGGGGTCAGGGTCACACCCGAGCCTTGGCCACCGTGCCGGGAGTCCTTGTTAACTGAGGCTGCTACTGCAGCCCCCTGCTGTGATGCCTGGACCCCAGTGGGGATTAAGGAAAGATTGGGAGAGGTTACATGGGGAAACTGAGGCCCACATGGATTCAAGAGCTCCCTGAGAGCACTCAGCTGGGCCGAAGGCGGGCGCCTCCCCCGCCAGCACCTGAAGAGGAAGAGGCTGGGGTCCAGAGGGTTGTTCTCGATGGCACAGTCGATGCACTGCAGTGCCCGCTGCAGCTTGCCCTGCACGGCTAGGGTCCTGGCGTCTTGGTGTGACTTCTGGGCCTGGTCCACCATCACCTTGAGCAGCGACTTGGCCCCTGGGTGCTTGGGATCCAGGAGCAAAGCGTTGTGCAGGTCTTGATAGCAGAGGTTGGGCTGCAGGGGCCGGGAGTGACATCAAGGGCACAGGCCAAGCTGAGCCCGGCCCTGTCCAGCAGGGGGAGGCAGAGCTCCAGGCCGGTAGGGGCCTTTCTCCAGGCAGCCGGGCACCCTGCCACCCATCCCTGGTGACCCCGCTTTGCTGTTGTTCTGCCTTTTCTGACTCTTGAAGCACACAGGGAACCCTGTGGGAAAATCCCAATCTAGGCCCAACCCCCGTCAGCCCCTTTCCGGATGTGGCCTCAGGGGGCCGAGGCCAGCCTTGGTGGTCTCTACTGTGGAAGGGGATTTGGGAGACTGCCTCCTGGGATGATTTCTGTGAGGCTCACTCGGGGTGGGAGAGGGGCGGCATCCCACTGGCGAGTGTCGCATCCGTCCTACCTTTTCCTCCCCCACTGCCTTGACCTTTAAAGCCAAGAGAGCTCTGACCGAGAACAGAGTCAGGCCTGAACACGAGCAGAAAACATCCCCAGGCAAATACCTTCCACTGGGTGAGCAGGTCTGTGTCAGTCAGTCAACAAACACTTTTAGCAAGCACCCGCCTCCTACAGGGTAACTGGTTGAAGGCTGAGCAGAGCAAACAGTGGGGACACCAGGAAGTGGAGAGGGGACACACGGGAGAGGCTAGGGGTGGGACTTCGGAGTAGGCCTTGGTTCAAGGGCAGCGCCACTGAGCACTGGCTGTGTGACCTTGAGCAAGCCCTGTACCCTCATCTGTGAAAAGACGACAAGGGGTTGTTGTATCCCCTGAAAGGGTTATTGTGAGCCTGTAAGACAAACATGAGTGAAGCATTTGCAAGGGCTGAAGTGGTGGGAGCGGCTACAGTCCCCACAGTCAACAACAATTATCAATAATTACTAGTCTCCTGCCTTTGGAGGACACTCCCCTGCTGACTCTGGGACACAGAAGCCCAGCCCCCAGCCTGGGGAGGCTCACATTTCCAACTGCCCCAGGATGCTCCACCTGGTGAACTGAGGTGAACCCCTGCCCAATCCCCCCCACCCCCATTCCTGCCCCAGCTCCCAAGCCCCAGGCCAGGCTGGAACAGCAGCCCTCATTCTGGATCCCTTTCTTTCCTCATGCATCTTCCCAGTCAGTCTCTGGTCCTCACTTCCAAGGATGGTAGAACTGCCATCTTGCCCTTCCTTCCCCGGCCCCCTCCCCTCTGCTGGCGGGCACCTAGCTTCCTCCCCAGGCTCCCGGCCTCCAGACTTGCTCCCTCTGGCAGCGAAAAGGATCTTTCAAAAGGCCATTGCCCCGGGGACACCCTTTGGAGGCTCCTACTGCCCCCAGGAAGAAGGCAGGGTCTTCCTGTGCTCACAGGGCCCTGCCTGATTAGCTCACAAACCTGAAGTCCCCTCCTCCCTTGTGACCCTCAGGTTTCCCTTGCCCCTAAGCTGTTCCCTGTCCTGTCTGTCCCCATGCCTATTCCGGGGGGTGTGCCAGCTGGGGGTGCTTAGTAAGTGTTCACTGAGGCAAATAAGGAAAGAAAGGAAGGAGGGAGGGAGGGTCCCCTCATCTAATGGATCTCTGAGGCTGCTGCTTCACGCTCTCCTGAAATCACCCTTCATGCAGCTGTCTGCCGAGGGGCGTCTCCCTGGGCTGAGTTCCGTGATGGCAGTGGGGACATAGGTCTCTTGCCTTGTGGGTTCCAGGGGCCAGTGTGGGCCTGGCATGGGACGAGAGCTGACAGCGAAACAGCTGCCAGACCGGGCGGCTGAGCAGGCAGTGCCAGTCGGGGCCTCTGCCTGCAGAGGACAGTGCCCCCGCCTCCCCGTAGGGGGGCAGCTTCGGGGCAGGTGCGTGGCCCAGAAGCCTCGTATAATCTCGGGGTGTGCGGAGGGGGGGACACCCGGGCTGGGGGAGGGGCGGCTGCCTGCCCCACCCTCCCTGTTCTACCTTCTGGAAGAAGTTATAGAGCCTGGCCCGGAGGATGTAGATGTCAGCGTTGGCTGTGCCATGATTCACCTCCTCGGTGACAAGCGAGAGGCAGTCGTCATGTCGTCCGAGGGCCAGGAGACACGCCATGCTGAGGGCAGAGAGCACAGGTGCCCTGTCTGCTGGAGCAGCCGCTCCCCACCTTGGTCATCTCAGGGCCCATCCACACAAACTAGTTATCAAAATCCTCCAGCCAGCGCACCAAAAAATATATCTTTTGCTGAGCTGACAAAAGAATAGGTGTAATTTTGATTCATCTACACCAGATGGCAATTGTGTTGGCTTTTTTTTTTAATCCTCACGTAAGGATATATCTATCGACTCTAGAGAGAGAGGGAGAGAGAGAAAGAGACAAGCATTGATGTGAGAATAATATCAAGCTGACTGGGGAACTGAGCTTGCAACCCAGGCATGTGCCCCGATGGGGGAACTGAACCCACAACCTTCTGGTCTACAGGATAACGTTCCAATCAACTGAGCCACATCGGCCACGGCTGTAGTCATTTTTTAATTTGACCATCTAAGGGAAAAGACGCCAGTGCCCCTGACTAAACAGTCAGGTGTTGCATATTTAAAAAATTCTCGCGGCGTGCCGCTGGCGGTTGAAAATCTACGTGCTAGAGGGACAGGAAGGGGCTGCTGGAAAACCGGGGCTGGCAAGGGCACCAAGGGGACCCTCACCAGCGGTAATAGAAGCAAGATTTCTTGGGCTGGAGCTCGGAAGCTTGCGAGAAGACGTGCAGGGCATCCAGAAAGGCACCTTGCTCAAACAGACACTGGCCCTGCGGGCACACGGAGCAGTCATTTCTGCTTCGATCCCTGGCACAGCAGCACTCACGAGAGGGCGTGGGCCGCACTGGGGTGGAAGGGGAGAGACACCAGAGACAGGGACAGAGGTCTTTACAGAGCTGGAGAGATTTTAAGCCAGAGACACAGAAATGGGGAGAGATACAGAGCTAGGGAGGAGAGACAGCACGAGACAGTGAGAAATGTACACTGGGCGGGAGACGGACAGCAATGCGGAGACTCAGCAACAGAGAGAAACAGACAAAGTCTGGGAGGCAGGCAAGAGCAGCAGCGCCAACAGGAACGGGCTCCAGCCAGGACCTGGGCTTCTGGTCCGTGTTGAGAACCTCAACTTACTGTCTCACTGGTACTAACTAGCACCCCCCCTTTTAGGTGAAAGAACAGAGGCTCAGAAGGTGAAGTAACTTCCCCAAGGTCAAGAAGTGTCTGTGCTGGACTCCGGACCCCGACAGACAGATTAAGCACGTGCTTTGGGTGTCCCAACTGTTTCTTTTCAAGAACTGAATAACTGGACATTAAAAACAAAGCTATCAAAGTTGTTTTTTTAAATATATTTTATTGATTATGCCACTACAATTGTCCCATTTCCCCCCTTCATTCCCCTCCACCCTGCACACCCCTCCCCCACCATCCCCCCTTTAGTTTATGTCCATGTCACAAGTTCTTTAGATTCTATATTTCCCATACTATTCTTGCCCTCCCCCCTATCTATTTTCTACCTACTGTCTATGCTACTTATTTTCTGTACCTTCTCCCCCTTTTCCTCCTCTCACTTCCCTGTTGCTCCATTTCTATGTGATCTCCATTTCTATGGTTCTGCTCCTGATCTAGCTGTCCTCTTAGTTTGCTTTTGTTTTAGGTGTGGTTGTTGATAACTGTGAGTTTGCTGTCCTATCACTGTTCATCTTTTTTATCTTCTTTTTCTTAGATAAGTCCCTTGAACATTTCACATAGTAAGGGCTTGGTGATGATGAACTCCTTGAACTTGACCTTATCTGAGAAGCATTTCATCTGCCCTTCTATTCTAAATGAAAGCTTTGATGGATAGAGCAATCTTGGATGTAGGTCTTTGGATTTCATGACTTGGAATACTTCTTTCCAGCCCCTTCTTGCCTGTAAGGTGTCTTTTGAGAAATCAGCTGACAGTCTGATGGGAACTCCTTTGTAGGTGACTGTCCCCTTATTTCTTGCTGGTTCTAGGATTCTCTCCTTCATTTTAATCTTGGCTAATATAATTATGATGTGCTTTGGTGTGTTCCTTCTTGGGTCCAACTTCTTTGGGACTCTCTGAGCTTCCTGGATTTCCTGGAAGTCTATTTTCTTTGCCAGATTGAGGAAGTTCTCCTTTATTATTTGTTGAGATAAGTTTTCCACTCGTGGCTGTTCCTCTTCCCTGTCTGGTACCCTTATAATTCAGATGTTGGAACGTTTAAAGATGTCCTGGAGGTTCCTAAGTCTCTCCTCATTTTTCTGAATTCTTGTTTCTTCATCCTTTTCTGTTTGGTCCTTTTTTTCTGCCTTCTGGTCCACTCCATTGATTTGTGTCCCAGTTTCCTTTCCATCACTATTGGTTTCCTGTGCATTTCCCTTCATTTCTATTAGTTTTAGCCTTCATTTGTTCTAATTTGTGACTAAAATCAACCAGTTCTGTAAGCATCCTGATCACCAGTGTTTTGAACTGTGCCTCTGATAGGTTGGCTATCTCTTGGTCTCTTAGAAGTATTGGCTCTGGGGCTTTGAGCTGTTCTTGAGCCATAATGTTTTGGTTTGTTTGCGCCTGTTACATATGAGGGGCAGAGTCTTAGGTGTTCACCAGGATTGGGCGACTCAAGTAGCTGGGTTATGATGCTGCATGTAGGGGCAGGGTCAGAGAGGGGCAATGTTATTTGTTCTGCTCTCTCTTGGACCTCGGTCCCCTCTACTGCTTCCCGCAAGCAAACCGGGCCCCCTGGTGCCAGCTCCCGGGTGTGTGGGCCTGTGCACCCTCCAGGACCCTGTGGGTCTCTCCAACAAACTCTCTGTGAACCTGGGAGCTTCTCCCGCCACCTTGACCCCAAAAGTTTTTCCAATTGCTGCTTTTAGGCTTTAATTCCCCTGCTGGGGCCCTAGCCTGCGTGATCTGTCTCACTGCTCATTCCTTCGCCTGGTTTATCTGTGCGCGAATGTGTGATGCCACCCCACACCTGGGATCTGCCAACCGCCGCCTGCGCTCCTGGGTTGGTCCAGCCGATCTTTCCTGCCCGAGCCCGCTCCGCCAGCCGCTGACTCCACCCCTCTTACTTGTCTGGCTGAATGGGTTCGTTGTTGTCGGACTTCCATACAGTTTAATTTTCTGTGTTTTGGTTGCGTTTTTGGTACTAAAACTTTGTTGTCTTTAAACTTGGTTGTGCGAGGAGGCACAGTGTTTCCACCTATGCCTCCATCTTGGCTGGAAGTCTCTTCAAAGTTGTTAAAATGGAAAAAATCAGGACTTTGTTGGTATTTATGGTTTAATATTTTTTTAACTGCAGATGGGGCTGGTATTACCTTTTTAGTGCTCAGAGTCTCTCGATTCTGGGTCTGTACTATCCCACACCAGGGCACAGCTGCCTGTGGCTATGTAAATTTTACTACAATGGCAAATAATAAAAAAACTTAGCATTTCAAGGGCTCAGCAGTTGCACGTGGCTAATGGCTACCAGGTGGGACAGTGGTGAGTCGATCACACATCACTGTCATGACCCCAGGAAGTTCTGTTGGACAATGTTAGAAAACTTTACCCAGCCCTGGTGGTCAGCCTACAGGGAGGTGGGAGAGGTCCCGAGAGGGGCAGCAGGTGGGCACACAGACACAGGGACAGGGAGGTCCCAGGGAGTCAAAACTAGTCCCAGGAGCAAGGAAAGCCCCACAGCCGGAGGAAGACACGGAGCGCCTGGGTGTGAGGTGGGCGCTGAGGCACCTGCAGGTAAAGCACAAAGGTGAGGCGCTCCAGGAAGTTGGTGTTATCTGGCTGGAAGGAGTAAGCCCTTCGAAGGTTCTGGGCAGCCGAGGAGAAGTCACACAGTTGGATGTAGGCTTCAGCTCTTAAGGCGTAGGAGTCTACCTGAGGGAGCAGAAACCCAGGCTGCTGTCCTCTCCCCACAGTTCACCCGGAGGCTTGACACTCAGTTACCAGCAGGAACTTGGTGGCCCTGAAAGGAGGGACCTGGAAGGTGTGACAGAAATCCAAGCGCCCCACCCCCCTCACCAGCTTGGAGTCCAGGTGGAGGGCGCGGGAGAAGAACAGCACGGCCAACTCCCAGTCTTCTTGCTTCAAGCACTGGTAGCCTTGGTGGTAGCTGTGGGGACAGGGGGCACAGGCAGAGGGGCTGGCCCTGCCCTTGACCAGCCCAGGGCATGCACCTGGAGCTGTGGGCGTGGGTGGGACACAGTTGGGTGGAGAGACTGGAGGAGTAGACAGAGATTCTTAGAGCTCATCCTGGCCAGCAGCCTTTGATCCACTGAGGCAGAAGAGCCCTATTACACAGGTGAGTTCACTGAAGCCCAGAGAGGGAGAGTAACTGGCTCAAAGTGGCACAGCATGTCAATGGCTGGGCAGAACAGAAACCAGGGACCCTGGGACGAGGTAGTCACACTCACTACTCCCTGACTTTTAAGGGCACTGTTATCCCAGCAGCTGTTGTTTTTATCTCATCAAAGCCCCGGAACACCTGGCAGGTCCCAAAGATGCGCTGTAGGACCTCCTGTGGGAGTGGAGTCCCCGTCGACTTTCGGATGGGCTGTGAGGGAGCCTGTTCAGGCCACAGAGGATCCTAGAACCAAGGGAGAGCGAGGTGCAGCAGGCCTCGGAGATGACCCCCTTCATGTGCACACTCTGGTCAGGTGTGTTACAGGGAGGGGGAGGGTGGCAGGAGGCGCACATGGGGTCTGGTGCACTCCCAGCCTTATTCCCCTGTGGGATGTTCTGACCACCCCCCTCTCTCTCCAGTCCTGCCTCTTTCCTATGGTCAAAGTCAGGGGTCAAGATTCTCAGACTCACACTGCCTTCTGGTCCCCCTCAGCAACCTTCTCCAGCTGACACCCAAAATGTCTCCAGCTCAGACCCTGTCCCAAGCTGCCCGCTCCAGGGGCCTGCAGCTGCTAGTGTATCCTGTGTGACCCCCACGCCCAGCAGGTCAAATTGAGCACACACCTGACTTCTGCTCTAGCTTTCCCATCTCGGTAAGTCCACCTTCTCTGCCAGCCAGAGACCCATGTTCCATCAGTCCTCAAGTCCTGTCTGTCCCACTTCCTGAAGACCTCTTAGATTCCGCCTCTTCTCTCATCCTCTCATCTGGGCCAATGCCATCTCTGCCAGGACGCCAGCATAGGTCACGCCGCCAACCTCCCCACTGGCCACACGTCCCAAGTCCTCTGTTCTCTGTACAGCGGCCTGGCACTTTCCTGAATTGCACAACTAAGCCTGCATCTCCCGTTCTTAAAACCGTTCCTGTGAACTCGGTGTAAGTCTCTTCTTTCCCGACCTTCTGCCCGTGCTTTAGCTTTCTCCCGCACCTTTCTGGAGTCTGTCATGAGGCCCCTTCTAGGAAGATCTGCGGGACTGAGTGGGCTAACCTGCAGCCCTCGCCCAGACGTTGCTAGGCACCATCTCCACCACGCTCACAAGCTCCGCTCTTTGGCCACGCCCCCTGGATCCAAGGGCTGTTCCCTCCCCCCACACGCCAAGGGATATTTGAGCCAGAAAAAGAGTAGCAAACTTTTATTAGCCTCCCTCAGCCAGGGAGGCTGAGGCTACAGCGTACGGAGGACTTGCTGGGTTTCCGCAGCGAGACAGGACCGCAGCGCGGGCCAGAACAAGGCTCGCTCTTCCCAAACCAGAGGTAAAGCAAGGGCTCTTCCAGTCCCACGACACACCCCACCCAGACGCGGTGACGCAGCACCACGGAATGAAATGCGCGGAGGGGCGCCTAGACACGCCCCCGCCCCACCACTTCCGCCCCTCACGAGCATGGCGGCCTGGCGGCCCGTTCCGGATTGGTCGCTGTGTGGGTGACGTCAGGGGAGGGGCCGTGAATGGGAGCAGCAGCATGCCTCCACCCGGCCTCTGGAGCGCGGGGCTGTGGCTGAGTGGCGGCATGAGCCGGTTCGTTTTGGAACCCGGGCCCCCGGGGAAGCGGTGGCTGGTGAGTGGAGTGAGGGGCGGCGACCTGGGGCCCCCGGGGCCTAACCCCAGCTTTACCACTGTCTCCTGGGCAAAGCCCCTCCAATTCCCTGTGTCAGTTTTCTTATCTAGAAGTGGGTCCGATACCCACAGGGCTCCAAACTTCCAGGAACTGCGCCTGCGCCGCCCGCGGGGCACCAGTTTCCACCCAGCCTTCTGGAGTCTCCAGGGTTCCCAGGCCTCCTCTTCGCGACCCTTCTCCACTCCGTTCCTGCTTTCTATTTCCCTTCTTCTGGTTTGGGTCCCAGGGGCATTGTGAGATAGAGGGTGGAGAGTGTTGTCGGGCCTCAGTTTCCCTGTGCCGCCCGCAGGTGGCTGGCCTGGGGAACTCCGGACTGCCGGGCACAAGGCACAGCGTGGGTATGGCGGTGCTGGGGCAACTGGCACGGCGGCTGGGGGTGGCTGAGAGCTGGGTCCGTGACCGTCGCTGCGCCGCCGACCTCGCCCTGGCCTCACTTGGGGATACCCAGCTGGTCCTGCTTCGGCCGCGGCGTCTCATGAATGCCAACGGGCGCAGCGTGGCCCAGGCCGGTGAGTTGAGAGTACCAGGGGCAGGCGGGTCTCGAGGGTGTAGGGGCCAAAGGGTATTCTGGGGTGCGGCGGACGGGTTCCCCTCCAGGTGCCTATGGAGTTACAGCTGCCGCATGGCTTCGGGTATTGTCAGCTTCTTTAAATGTGCAGTGGGGTTAACTTCTGCCCTTCCTCATGGGAGCTGTGAGTTGGGAAAACGCCCCCTGGGCAGATCAGCAGTAACCCGGACCACTTTTCCCCTGTGCCAAGCGGAGCTTTTCAGGCTGACTGCTGAGGAGGTCTACCTGGTGCATGATGAACTGGACAAGCCCCTGGGGAAGCTGGCTCTGAAGCTGGGGGGAAGCGCCAGGTGAGGCCCTGAGCCTGTCTGTCTGGGATAGGGAAGTTGGCCTTCCAAATGGAGTGGGGTAGGCGTGGGCTGGGATGGGGGGGGCGCGGGATGCTGATTCAGGGAAGCACTGACTGCCCCTCCAATGTCCTTGAAGGGGCCACAATGGAGTTCGTTCCTGTATTAGCTGCCTCAAGTCCAGTGTGAGTCCGCCCCTCTGTCCTACTGTGGGCCGGGTGGTTGGGTGTGGGACCCCAACACTCCTCACCAAAGCTGCCTGAGCCCCTCTGCTCCTCCACAGGCAATGCCACGGCTGCGGGTAGGCATCGGGCGCCCGACGCACCCTGATGCCGTGCAGGCGCACGTGCTGGGCTGCTTCTCCCCCTCCGAGCAGGAGCTGCTGCCTCCATTGCTGGAGCGCGCCACAGACCTGCTCCTGGACCACATCCGTGAGCGAAGCCAGAGGCCCTTGTCAGGCACCTGACACCAGTGGACATGGCTGCCCGCCTGACTGCCACACCCACACACCTGGCCATGTCCACAGAGGTGCCACGCCAGCCTGTGGTATCCACTTTTTATATAGCTCGTCTTGGCTGCTCCAGGCCTTCTACTGACTAACAGGGACTGTGGCTGGGTGGGTCCATTCTTGGGGTAGGCAGCTGGTCTTCTTTCCGTGTCTTACTTGGAAAGTAGGGAAACTTCAGGCAAACTCAACTTTTTGAGCGTTTTTGGAGAACCAGAGATGTGGATCTGCAAGATTAAAGATGCTTGGAGGCCCTTCAGGGGGTTCCTACCCTCCCCTGTCCTTGTGGAGGAGGGAGGGGCCCACAGGGCCCAGCAAGCCCCCTCCCAGGGGCTGTGTCGGCATGCCTTGGCCCACAAAGGCCTCGCCACATCTTTCTTTGGCCCATTTCACAGACAGGGAAGTGGTGGCTTGGAGAGGTCTAGCCATGTCCCCAAGGCCACACAGATGCAGTGTGGCTGAGTTGTGATTGGCACAGGGTGGCCACCATCTTGCTGTCCCTGGGGCCCCGGGCACGCTCACCTCTGAGTCCCTGTGGGAGTGGGGTGCTCTCATACGGGTGGTGTGCGAGAGCAGCCTGAGGTCCTCGGGGTTGGGCGGGACATGGGCCCGGCGGGGCACCAGGCCCAGGTCTCCCAGCTGGTAGGGCTTGATGTCCAACAGCTGCTGCTGCAGAGGCCTGGCCCTGGGTGTCTGGGTGCTGCACAGGCTGTGGGGAGGGGCCTGTGTCATTGCCTCCATTTCATGGAGGAAGGAGCTACAGTTCAGAAAGGCTTTGGAGAGCCCAAATTCTGCCCAAGGTCACTGAGGATGGCCCTTGGACAAGTCCCATAGCTGCTTCTGAGGTCACACAAAGTCACTCACCTCTCCTTGGGGCCCCGGGACTGGCTTTCCTTTTGGGGCCTTAGGGCAGTGGCTGAGCCGAGCATGGCCAGTAGCTGCTGTAGCATCTGCCTGTGCTGCAGGTGGTACCCTATATCAAAGTCGCCGTCCTCTTCCTCTGGTTGCCTCTGCTGTAGGGGTCAGGGTGGGCGGGGGGGGGGGTCAGGCCCCTAGTGGCCCCAACACCCACCTCTGGTAACTCCAACCCCAGTTACTGTTTCCACAGTGTTCCCTGGCTATGGTGGGATACCCACTCTCCAACTGGGAAGACTGAGGCTCACAGCCTTCCAGGGAACTCCGAGAAAGGACTCCATCCAGTTCTTTCAGATCTTGAGGGGATCTTTGAATCGTAGAATCAGAAAGGGACAGACTTGCCAGCAGTCTCTCAGGGCAAGGTGGGGCCTCTGGCCTTGGCTGGGGCTTCTCCACATGGCCCAGTTACCTTCGAGCAGTTGCTGTCTTTGGCCTACTCCCCCCACCCCCAACTGTCGCCCACTTCTTGTTCACCTGCAGGATGTCCTGTAGGAAGGCAGTGGCCTGGCCCAGGGCTGTCTCCAGGCTTGCCCGAACCTTCCGCTCTTTGGTCAGCTCCTGCTGCAGCTGCTGTGCCCCGACCTGGTGCAGCTTCACCTGCAGGTTCAGCTGGTCTCTCTGGCACCTGGTCCCGGACCAGATGAGTTGGTCACCTCCTGGTTCCAGGGTGATGCACCCTAACATTGCTTTTTAGCCCACAGGGACCCTCATCCAGCCGTAGGCCTCAGCCTGTTTGACAGAGGAAGGCTTGAGGCCCCTCTAGGGAGGGGAAGTCACTGGCCTGTGTCATGTGGTCATGAAGAGATGGGCTCCCACCTACTCCCACTGCTCGCTCGCCCCTCTGCGGGCCACACCTCAGTGCCTCCTTGTCCTTCTGCAGCTGCAGGAGGTTCCGCTCCAGCTGGCTCAGCAGGAGGCCCAGCTGCTCAGCCTCCTCTCTGCCCTTCTGCTCCCTGTGGCACTTCTGGGTTAGCCTGAGGATGACCTGCAGGAGTGTGCAGGTGGCATGCCCCCGGCCCACTGCGGGCCCGCAGCCAGTCCCGCTCCCCCAGCTCCAGACTCGTCAGGGCTCACCCCATTGCACAGACAGGCTGCCTTTCTGGGCAGCAGTTGGGCAGAGCCCCCAACTCACTGGGAGCGGGTTCCACTCCAACATGCTACAGGGCTTTAAACGGAGTAAAGAACAGCTGGGTCTGGGGCCAACTCCCTGGAGCCCCCCCAAGAAGGCCTGTGCCCTCACAGCCGCCTCCCTGGAGACTCGGGTCCCCCTGCTTCAGGTACCAAACACCGGTGAGGACCTGGCCGGCATACCTGCTGGTAGTCTCTGCGGTGCCTGGCCATGGCCTTCACGATGTCCTCCAGCAGCTCCAGCTGTTTGGACATCTTGTCCTGCGCGCCCTTGAGCTGGTCGTTCTCCTGCAGCAGCCTCATGCCGTGCCTGGTGACCTTGGACAGCTGCAGGGTCACGGCATTGTTCTCCAGGATGGCCCGCTTCGTTGTGTCCCACATCTGGTCAGTGGCCACCTTGCGGAACTCAGTGGCCACCATGTTCAAACGCTGAATGACTTCCTTTTTCACTCTAGTCAGGACGGGTGGGAGTGAAGAGGGTCGGGCAGAGTGGGCGCAGGCCTCAGGCACCCCCTTCCTATGCAGGGGTTCCCAGAGCACTCAGGGCCACCTCTGCTCTTCCCCCAGGAGGGGCAGGCAGTGGGCAGCAGGCTGCTCATTGTACACCTGGTACCTTTGGAATTGTACCCAAATCAATGTATTACTTATGAAATAAACCTGATGTAGGTCATAAAACATGGCAAAAGGCCGTTCAGGAATCCTCTCACGCCAGCATGAGGACGGGAGCTGGGGAACGTGGTTATTTTCTCCCACCCTCCACAAACCAGCCAGGATTCCGAGGAGCGCAGGGTGGGGAGTCGAGGAGCTAGTGCAGCGCCCCCAATTCGAAGCCAAGGCAAACAGCTGAGGACTGGGCTGTGCCTGGCCCCACTGATGAAGGCCTCTGGCACCTGGCCTGCTCACCTGTCCTTGTCCAGCACTGACTTCTTCTCCAGGTTGTACACATAATCCTTGAATTCTTTCTCCTGCATATGCAGCTGGTCCTCCAGCGATGTGAACTTGTCCGTGAGCTCCTCTTTCTGCAGCCGGAACTCCTCCAGGGCTGCCAGCTTCCCCGCTGTCCCACCACAGGGCACAGGCCTGGTGAGGGGCTGCCTGGGAGCACAGGGTCCCAGGGCAGCAAGGGCCTGGGGCCATGCTCCTCCCTCCCCACTTCCTCGTGCCAGCCCTGTGGTTTCTGGTACAGCGGGGCTGGACCCTGCCTCACACCCAGTTACTGCCTTAGTCTGGAAAGCACTTGTTGCCCTCCACTAATCCCAGTAAGACTTGGCCCTGTTCCACTTCCTCGACATTCTCCATTCCCCTCATGAAAGCAATTAACAACAGCTGATTCAAGTTGAACACTTTCTTCGGGCCAGGCACTCATGCTGTCATTAAGCCTCAGAACAAGCCTTGCCATTTGGGTGACCTTGGCCAAGACACTTCACCTTAAGGTGCTCCCCAACCTACAAAATGGGGGAGATGTCCTGCCTCGTAGGATTGCTGGGACAATTGTGGGACATAATGTGTTGAAAGCAGCACGTGGCTGTTATTCAGGGTAGATGTATTATCCCCCCTTCCCAGGTGGGAAAACAGGGTCAGAGAGGTGCTTGCCCGAGGCCACGGAGCTTGCGGTTGCACTGGGACTTGAACCCAGAGAGCCAGAGTCTTTGGCTCCCGGCCACTACGGCGTGCGCCCTCCAGCCCCTCACCGATGACGATGTTCTCCGAGGTGAGCTGGTCCTTGGTCTCCTGGAACTCATGGCGCACCTGGGCTAGCTGTGCCTCAAAGGCGTCCTTCTCTATCTCCTTGGCCAGCTGCAGGCTTTGGAGCTGCTCGTTGAGGTCGGTGATCTCATCCACCCGCTGGTTGAGCGTGCGCTTGAGGAAGGCCACGATCTCCTTTTTGTTGTTAGCCAGCTGCTCGAACTCCTGGTGGAACAGCTTGTCCTGCACGACCAGCTCATCCCACTTCCGCTGGTACCTGCGTTGAGGGCGGGGCAGAGCTCCAGGGGCTGGGCAGGCCAGGGCTCTGCACCTGGGCCACACTCTGCGGGACTCTCCCACGAAGAGGCATGCGCAGTTCCTCCCGGGCAGAGTCCAGCCTTGTCTCCCCCTGATCTGTGCTCATGACCACAGCCAGTGACTGCCCAGTGCTTCACGTCCATCACATCGTCAGAATGTAACTTCCATGAGGGCAGGGCCTTCGTCTCTGGGGTTCACAGCTGTGTCCCCTGCACCTAGGATGGTGCCTGGTACATAGTAGGTGTTCAGTGTGTATTTATTAAATTCTCAAAACAGCCCAGAAAGAAAATCAGTACTATGAAGATGATATCTATTTTACAGAGGAGGAAACAGAGGCTCAGAGGGATGAAAAAACTCCTAGTTAGTAAGTGGCAAAACCAGAACTTGGGCTGATGTCGATCTGACCAAATCCAGGCTCAACCTCAATGCTAAGGGCCCGTCGGCCCGGCCCGTGCTCTCCCTACACCTCCGCCCTCGCAGCCCCGGGCCTTCGCACCTTCCGTCTTCCTTGCCCTGTCCACTGACCTCCTCAGTGGAGCCCTCTTGGCCCTGAGTCATATCTGTGACCCTCTCTCTGGTGCCCTTCAGTAGGTTGGCCCTTGTCCCACTGGGCCATCAAGAGCTGGTGTGCCTGTCTTCCCCACTGGGCAGACGGCCGAACCCTTCACCACTGTATTCTCAGGGCCTGGCAGAGGGGCTTGGCAAGTAGGAAGTACCCAGTCACTGCCTCCCAAGTGCACTTTCCCCAAATACATTCAACCTGGCATCTCAGCCTGAGGGAAGCTTGTGAATTAGGAGTATCACATGACTGACATTGGTTTCCAATGGAATCATTGGTAGAAGTTCTTTGGAAGGATGTTTTACTTCGCCATTTACCCAGCCACCATCTTTTAAAGGGCTGTGGTGCACTTGGCTGCGCAGGGCACAAGGCAGAAGGACCTGCTTCGTGGACAAGGAAGCAGCTGGGTGCACAGAAGTAGGGGCTGGGGCTCCCATTCTGGCGCCTCTTCCTCTTGAAGGTGACCTCTCTCCCTGAGCCCCGGTTCCTCCACTGAGCCATGGGATGATGTCCGTGGCTCTGTTTCAAGGACACAGTGACCGTGAGCACAGGACCCGCCTGACGTACAGGAACAACTCAACATTAGCTGTACCTGCAACACGTGGGCAAGAACCACAGCCTACTCATCACCAAAGCAGTTTGTCTTTTAAGCGGCATCCTGAGACTTACCGTATTTTGCTGTGTATAATGCTCACTTTTTGCCCAAACTTTTGAGGGAAAAATAAGGATGCACATTATACGTGGGTAGTACTAATTCCATATCTATATTTTAAAGATTTTATTTTAGAGAGAGGGGAAGGGAGGGAGAAAGAGAGGGGAAGAAATGACATTTTGTGGTTGACTCTTGTGCATTCCCCACTGGGGACCTGGACCGCAACCCAGGCACGTGCCCTGACTGGGAATCAAACCAGTGACCCTCTGGTTCACAGGCTGGCACTCAATCCACTGAGCAACACTAGCCAGGGCTATATAAATGTTTTTAATTATTTTATTTATGCTTATGTGTTAAAAGTATAATCTAGAAAGCGATAATGATATCTGTATGAAAAATAATACCCTGGAATACGATAATCAGGTTTGTTTCTAAATATAAATACATAATTGAATTAAAAAATTAAAATGAAAGATTTTTCCCCCCGAAAGTTTGGGCCAAAAATGTGAGCATGCATCATACACGGCAAAATACGGTAGCTAGTGTATTTAACTGGGAGGAAACTTAGTTTGAAAAGAAGAGAGATGGGCAAGTGAATGTGTTTTGGAGGAGTTAGAGAAACCCCTTAGACCTGGCCCACCTGGCACAGTGGCCAGCCCTGGGCGAGCTTCTGATGAAGCAGGACCAGCCCCCACCCCTTGCCTGCCCACCCGCCCATCCACCTGTCCATCTGTCTACCCACCGAGCCAGCCTGTCCTCCAGGTCTCGGATCTGGATGTGGTAGAACTTCCGGAGCTCCTCAACTACAGTTGGGTCCACGGCTGTGCCAGGATCCTTCTTGCCACCTTTCTTCCTCTTGACCTCGGGCTCCTTGGCCCCCTTGTTTGCCTTTTTTTTTGGAGCCATGGCTGGCGCCACCACTACTCCAAGGCTCCTTTAAAAGGCCAGGTGGTTGCTAAGGAAGTTGGTCTCATACATAGCAACAGACTGAGGCAAGGCTTAAAGGGGCCCTGCCCTCTTTCTGGCAAGGCTGGCATGCCAAGTGGCCTCCACCTCCAAGGCTGGCAGCATCTCCAAAGAGGCCCTAGACTGGGGTGTCTGAGAGACAAGGATGCCAGGCTCTCTGTGCACTCTTTTGGGCTCTGGGAAGAGCCCTTTCCCCCCAAGAGGTAGCAAGTCATGTGGGAATATTACAGGTCTGAGCCCTAGAAATCACCACCCTGCCCCTCTGTGACCAGAGGAGGCTGGCCACCTGGCCCCCAGATCAAGGAGCCCCTCAGACCAGCTTAATTCTTTGGTGATGGGGCTGCACAGAATCATTCTCTTGGTTCCCCCAAAGCGGGGTGGGGAGAAATAGATGTTTATTGTTTATTACTTCTTATCTGAGCCTAACTGATGACATGCTAGGGGGCAACCTTTCAAATGCCCAAAATAGACATTTGATACAGGAGGCTCCCCAACTGGGGTCCCAGGATGGCCTGTCCAGAGGCCAGCTCCATCTTCTAAAGGCCCTCTGGAAAGTGTCCCGTTTGCCCTGTGCTGACCCTGGCAAACGAAGGCCTGCTCTGTAGCTCTGGCCTGGGGGGGAGGCTGCAAAGGAGAAACTGCTCTGCCCCCCATGCCTGTGGCCCAGGCACTCCCCGGGACAGTGGCAGGCCCTCTTCCTCCCTGCTGTCCTAGGGCCCCGCACTAGTCAGGAATGATGTGGTCCACCTGAAAGTCTGACGGCTGGACAAGGGGGCACATGGGGTTACTTCAGCACTTGGGGGTGGTCTGAGCAGCTAGATCTCATGAACAGCAGGACACTTGCAGTGGGTGCCTGGGGTCAGGGAGGGGTTGGGGACAAGAGGTGGGTGTTCACTTGTGGCAGTGAGGCAGGTTGGAGCAGCGGTTGGTTAAAAGTAGGCTCCAGTCTGTCTGCCCTGGACCGCAGATGGGGAGAGAGGCCTGACCCAGTGCTCAGCATGTGGGGACAGCCCCCTAGTCCACAGCAATGCACCCCCTCAGCTGGACATTGACTCCTCCCTGACCTGGGAGGCTCCCCCACAGGAGCCCAGCCCAGACAAAGGACCCCCATGGTGCCCAGCCTTGGCCAGCTGTCCTCGCCCTCCTCATGCCTCCCAGGTAGCTCTGAATCCCCAGCCCGGTGGACAGCATGATCAGTAGCCCCTTAGGCTGCTGGGAGCCCACAGAAGCTGTCGGCTCTGGGGACTGTACTCCCTCCTGTTGGCACCTGGAGGGGAGGGGGAGGCTTATAAATGTGGCCGTAGTCACATGGCAAGAGTGACCACCTGAGCTTCCTGGCCAGCCTTCTAGGTGGTGGGGGTGGGGAAGGGGGTGCTCCAGGAGCAAGGATACCCCTTTCTGGAGTTTGTTGCAGTCTCCCCTAGCTCCCTCTGCTGGGGCCACAGATCAGCATCACCTTCCCCAGTGGCACCATCTCACTGCTGCTCCTTAACTGCCTCCTGTGTCCCACGCTGGGACCGGTGGAGGTGGGCCCAGAGCTGCTGGAGCTGCCAGGCCCTGTGCTCTGAGTCTTCTGAGAGGAGCAGTGAAGTGCACACAGTGGTCGGAAGGCCGGGGCACCCCCAGCTCTGAAGGCCCCAGAGGGAAGGAAGCCCTGGCCCGACACCGATGGGGGGTGGCCAGGCATCATTGACCATGCCGGCACCTCGCCTGCCTCTGTGGAGCACACGGCCTGACAGATCCATTTATCGAGGGTGTGTGTGTGTGTGTGTGTGTGTGTGTGAGAGAGAGAGAGAGAGAGAGAGAGAGAGAGAGAGAGAGAGAGAGAGAGAGAACTACCTCCCACTAGTGTGAGTTCTGGAGGCCCAGCCTGTCTTGTTTGTGACTGCATCTCCAGAGTCTGGGATAGAAGTTGGCACATAGTAGGCACTCAGTAAACATCTGCTTACTGACTAAGACCACACATGGAAGAAATTCCCAAATAACACAGGAAGGACCTTGATTCACCTTCCCTTTAGCAAAATAACAATTTAAGTGGTAAAGATTATTATTATTTTTTAATTTTTTATTGATTATTCTGTTACAGTTGTTCTATTCCCCCTTTCATTCCCCTCCACCCTACCCCCCATCCCCACCATTACCCCCCCTTTAGTTTATGACCATGTGTCTCAAGTCCTTTAGATTCTATATTTCCCATGGTATTCTTGCCCCCCCCATCTATTTTCTATCTACTGTCTATGCTACTTATTTTCTGTACCTTCTCCCCCCTTCTCCTCCTCCCACTCCCCTGTTGCTAACCCTCCTTGAGATCTTCATTTCTATGTTTCCACTCCTGATCTAGCTGTCCTTTTAGTTTGCTTTCGTTTTAGGTGTGGTTGTTAATAACTGTGAGTTTGTTGTCCTTTCACTGTTCATGTTTCTTTAACTTCTTTTTCTTAGATAAGTCCCTTTAACATTTCATATAATAAGGGCTTGGTGATGATGAACTCCTTGAATTTGATCTTATTTGAGAAGCACTTTATCTGTCCTTCCATTCTAAATGAAAGTTTTGCTGGATAGAGCAATCTTGGTTGTAGGTCTTTGGATTTCATGACTTGGAATACCTCTTTCCAGCCCCTTCTTGCCTGGAAGGTCTCTTTTGAGAAATCAGCTGACAGTCTGATGGGGACTTCTTTGTAGGTGACTGTCCCCTTATCTCTTGCTGCTTCTAGGATTCTCTCCTTCATTTTAATTTTGGCTAATGTAATGATGATGTGCCTTGGTGTGTTCCTTCTTGGGTCCAACTTCTTTGGGACTCTCTGAGCTTCCTGGATTTCCTGGAAGTCTATTTCCTTTGCCAGATTGGGGAAATTCTCCTTTATTATTTGTTCAAATAAGTTTTTTTTTTATTTCTTTATTTATCTTTAGAGGGGAAGGGAAGGAGAGAGGGAGAGAAATATCAATGTATGGTTGCCTTTTGTGCATCCCCTGCTGGGAACTGGCCTGCAGGGAACCTGCCTGCAACCCTGGTATGTGCCCTGACTGGGATTCGAACCGCGATTGTCTGGTTCGCAGGCCCGCGCTCAATCCACTGAGCTACACCAGCCAGGGCCTGTTCAAATAAGTTTTCCACTGGTGGCTATGCCTTTCCCCCTTCTGGTACCCCTATAATTCGGATGTTGGAGCGTTTAAAGATGTCCTGGAAGTTCCTAAGACTCTCCTCATTTCTTTGAATTCTTGCTTCTTGACTCTTTTCTATTTGGCCATTATTTGCTTTCTTCTGGTCCACTCCATTGATCTGAGTCCCAGTTTCCTTTTCATTGCTATTGGTGTCCTGTGCAATTCCATTCACTTCAATTAGTTTTTCGCCTTCATATATTTGTCTAATTTGTCGGTATAATCAACCAGTTCTGTGAGGATCCTGATCACCAGTGTTTTAAACTGTGCGTCTGAGAGTTTTGCTATTTCTTCATCGCTTAGATCTATAGGCTCTGGGGCTTTGAGATCTTCTTGAGCCATTTTTGGTCTGTTCGCGCCCTTTAAGTGTGAGAAGCGGCGCCTTGGACTCCCAGGTCGCTGGGTTGTGACGCTACATGTGGGGGCGTGGTCAGAGCGGGGAAATGGCGACCCCCTCTGCTGTTTCTCACAGCTGGGTGAGGAGCAGAGCCTTAGGTGGTTCACCTGGGCCGGGCCACTCAGAGTCGCTGGGTTATGACGCTGTATGTGGAGGTGGGGTCAGAGCAGGGAAATGGCGGCGCCCTCCACTGCCGCTTGCCGCGGGGACCCACCGGGCCCTGGTCCAACTGCCCACTCCCTCGCCTGTCCACCCGCGCACAAATGTGCAACCACAGTCAACACGCAGCCCGCTCCCCCGCTGTCTCCTCCGCGGTCGCTCGCCTGGTCGCTCGCTCGATCACTCACTAGGTCCAACCCTGCGCCTGGATTCCACGTGCCTGAGTCCGTCTGACCGAGTACCTCCTGTGCAACCCCGCTTCACCAGCCGCTGGTTTTGCCCCTCACCGGTCAGGCTGAAGAATTTGTTGTTAACGGACTTCCGAAAAGTTCAATTTTCTGTGTTCTGGCTGTGTTTTCTGTTGCTAATATTTAGTTGTCTCTAAACTTGGTTGTGTGAGAAGGCACGGCACATCTACCTATGCCTCCATCTTGGCAGAAGTCCCCGATTATTATTTTTTTTAAAGAAACAATGATTTAAAGTGTCTGGGCACACAGGAAATAGAAAGACATTCATTCAAGAAAATCTAAATCTCCCTAAGAATGAGTGTGGTATTTGAGCAATGACCCACTCTTATCTGCTGTGGTATTTATACACACACACACTCTATACTATACTACTATATATATATATATATTTGCCCCCAGGTTCCTGGCACAGAGCTCTCGAAAAATTTCCCGAGTGTCTTTTGTTATTTATAACAAGCCCCCTTTGGACCATACTTGAATTTATGCTAATGAGGTATTTCCAGAGTTAGGCACAGCTTCAGGATGGGGGCTGCTCCCCAGAAAGACCAAGTACATCATTAGAGGGTTAGAACCTTCAGCAGACCCCTGCCCCACCCCAGCCCCACCCTGGAGCTCTGGGGAGAGAACAGGTGGAGGTCGAGTTCAATGATCAGCGGCCAATGATTTAAACAACCATCCTACCTGGTGAAACCTCTATAACAAGTCCTAAATATGGGGTTTGGGGAGCTTCCACGTTGGTGAACACCAAGCACATCCAGAAAGCTCAATGAACTCCAAGTTGAATAAACTCAAGGAGATTCACACCTAGACATATCATACTCAAACTGTAGAAAGATAAAGACAAAAGAATCTTGAAAGCAGCAATAGAGAAACTACTCATCACATGCAACGGCTCCTCAATAAAATTAACAGCTGACCTCTCAGGAGAAACCCTGGAGGCGAGGGGCGGCAGAATGAGAAAATGCTGAAAGAGAAAATGTCAACCAAGTATTTTATATCCAGCAAAACTATCCTTCAGCTCAGCACCACCCCTCCACAGGCACTAGTCACGGGAGGGGACAAAGTTCCTACGCGAGGTCCTGTGGATTCGAGCCAGGCCTACCTGATGCCAAGCTCTGTGCCCCTAGTCACGCTGCCATTCTGCCTCCCAGGAGTGAATGTCTGCTGTCATACTGAGGTGGGTGTACAGGCCCCCCAGCAGGGTGTGGCTGAGACCCCCCAGCCTGGACCTGAGCTCCCAGAAAGGCCAAGTGGCTGGCTGCAGCTAGCGGACCTGTCCCAGTTTAGTACTTCTTCTTACGGATTCAGCACTATCTGCTTTGGTTTGTTTCGGAACCCTTTCCCCTTTGAAGAGTATTGAACGCCACTGGGGGCTTTTTGGAGGAACGACTTGCAGGCTCCTCCTGCGCTGTATAACTGGAGAACCAGGACTTTCAGCAGGAGCGTAATAAGGGCCAGCCTTGTTTGCCACTGGGTGGAGGAGAGGGGGCTGGAATGGAGAGAGCGCCAGGGCCCCTGGGTCAAAGGGTGTCAGAATAGTCAAGGACAGGAAGCCACACTACTCTAGGTCTGGAGGGTACTGACGGCCCTGGGATGAGGGAACAAACAGTGTTCACTTTGCTTTATCATGAGCTAGAAGTAGTACAATTTAGAATTTAAAAATTCTGAGCTTGGATCTCATTATTCCAAGGCATTTTGGTTACCAGTGAAGCAACTAGGGATACAAGACGAGTGTCTGATGCTCCCCAGTGGGAGTGAGCTTCGTGGGTCACTGCACCCCTCTGAGCCCCAGCTTCCTCATCTGCAACACGGGAGGGGGCCCACCCAACAGACAAGGTACCTGAGAGGCCTGACACAGAGCAGCAGCTCAACAGATGGTCGCTGTCACCGTTACCTTCCTTAAGGCAGGTCCTACTAGGTAACAGTTGAGCTGCGGACACACAGCTCCCACCGACCAGCCCTGACCTGTTAGATCTTGTAGTGCGGTGAAGGAGACAGGGTTTGGACAAGAGAGTGACTGCAGACAAAGGCAGAGTCCCTGCAAAGCACCCACTGACCTGTGCCCGGTGTTCTAGCAGGTTCCCAGTGTGACCCGGCCCTACTTTGGTGGACTGCTGCCCAGGCCGGACCAAACTCATTGCAGTCACCCTGTGTCACAAATGGACTTTGAGACCAGCAGGACAGGCACCAGCTTTGGATCTGGAAGGAAGTTCGTTAGGCTAGATGGCGTGGCCTCAGGAGTGGAAGGGAGCCGTGACGCCGATGAAGTGACTCATCGCACGCCCTAAATAGACTGTCCCCGCATGCTTGAGTAGGGAGCTTCTGCAAAGGCAGAGCCCCGCGGGCTCTAAGAAAGAGACATTGTTGACAAGGAGAACAGGGTGGGGGAAGAGCCACCTGGTCCACAGCCGTGTCCCGCTGTTGCCAGGGTTAAGACAAGCTTCACGGACTGCCCCCAGACGTGAGACAGCTGTAGATCTCAATGAGAGTAACAGTCACCTGGATCCAGAAGAGCCCCAGCCAGGGCCGGGTGGCTGGGCTCTGCTGCCATGGACCATTTCAAAGGCCTTTCTCCTTCTGTTTCCCACAGTAAAACCAGTCGAAAGTCACCACGGACACCGAATGGGCGCTGATGTTTTTATTTATTAGACTGAGTGCTTTCGTACAGAACAGTACAGAGATGATACATGTTTGTGCTTCAATACTTTCAAACACTGAGATTCGGGTAAGTTCAAGGTAAACAAGTTTCAAGACAGACTAGCTTTTTTAAAATATCCTTTTGATAAATTATTTTTATATAAATAACAAGGAAAGGAAAACCAACATGTCTGACAAACAAGGTCCTGAAGCGTAAGCACTGTTGGTTGGGGGAGGGGACAGAACAAGCCGTCACGGCAAGGGAACGACCAATGCAAGTACCTAGCGGCTCTGTCCTAAGGAAGTAAGCTATCCGAGGGGAGGGGGGACAGACCTGGACACTGGTCCGGGTGCCGAGGGCGGGGACAGTCTGAAGCCTCAGGGGAGAACTCCACGATGCACCTACCAGGCGGGCGGGGGGCGTGTTCTGGCGGGGAGTGGGGCCGCATTGAACTAGCACACATCACGTTTGCAACGACATCACGAGACTAATATACACACGGTCTGCAGGAGTTAAAGGGTGGCAGGGGGCTGGACAGGGGACATTTTTGTGACTTCCACTGTCATTGTATTTCACGACCGCAGCAGCAGAACGAATGCGCGCTCGCTCGCGGAGAACGAGAGCTGCTGAGTCTTGAGGATGACCAGACATCCTGCCGGCATCTGCTTCTTTAATTTTTGCATTAGAGCTAAGTTTTATACAGCTAAGTTTTTATACAGAGAATAAAATGATCATTTTCTCTCACAAGCACAATGGCACATGATCCGCGTTACAAAAAATAAAATATTAGGAAGTACCTTAAACTGAGGATAATCTGAGTGGGAAAAAGTCTGTCTAAACCCAATGGGCTGGCCGTCCAGCTGTCTGGCGTCTTTGGGGACGGGCCGTCTGTACGGGAAAGGGCCCTCCGCCCGGCCGCCTGCAGAGCCCATTCTGTTCCAGTTCCTTCCTGACCCTTGAGCTCCACCCAGGCTGACCCCGCTTTGGTCAAACGGATCAGGCCTAACCACTTCTTCAAGAGACGCAGGTCCCCAGAGGGAGCCTGCATCTCACTTGTCTGGGCACAGTGCCTTACACTGCAGGTCTCCCCGCAGGACCCCAGCACTGCGGACATGGGCCAGGGAAGGTGCCGTGACAGGCAGAACGCCAGCGGTGCACAGCCGGACTTCACATGGACATCTGGCCCCCATCCACAGCCATGGCACCAGGGTAGGAGGCCCCAGGGAAAGCAAAGAGGTCGGTTCCCACTCCAGCCCCACCCCGAGACGCCACCTGAGCTTCACTGCCCAGCTCACGTGGATGAGAGTGGGCACCGAGGGGCAGGAACTGGAGTGAGAGAACAGATCTATCCTCAGTTTGCGATACTCCTGGCATCCGAGTCCCAGAAAGAACAGAAACAAGACAGGCTCTTAGAAACACCTGAGCAGCTGCCGCCCACTCTCGAGCAATCTGCACAAGTCGCACCGGGTTATGTACAAGGTCCCAGACTCCTGACTGGGGGAGAAGGCGTCCATTCATTCTGAACAGTTCCAAAACTGCTCCGGCAGCGCACCCCTCACACACGGGCTTCTCCTCTCAGGGTGAGTGTAGAAGAGAGTCTTTTTAAAAAACACAATGCATTATTTTCTTTTGTTTCAAACAAGAAGAGGGCATCATTAGACACGAGAACTCAGCGGCAACGGCGCCGGCCAGGGCGTGCAGAGCGGGAGAAGGGAAGGAGGGAGGGTCAGCAAAGTAATGGAGGCCGAGGGCAGCAGGGACTGCAGAGTGCTGGGGGAGGGGGGTTGCTTTTGGGAAGGGCGGCTTATTTTTTTAACTGCTTATTTCTTCATCTGTTTTATTCAGTTTCTTCAGCGTGTCCAGCAGTTTCTGTGGGGTGAGAATGTGCGTGGATCCTGGGGGACAGAAAAGACAGTGAGCTCACCGGCCCTGGTTTGGCACACTTTCTCCTTCCCTGCTCCTGGATTCCCGGATGTGTACCCATTCCCCACCCCCACCCTGGTTTGGGTCAGTGGAAGCAAGGAGGGGGCTGGGAGTTGGGGCTTGGGGCCAAGCCACCACAGGTCTGGGAGACATCTGGGGGCTGCGGATAAACAGAACACATCCTCCAGCTCAGGCAGGGGCCCAGGCTGCACCAGGGAAGGAGCGTGCCCCTCGCACAGGGCTCAGCGCCATCTGCCAGGGGACAGGGCAGCTGCACTGCGAACTCCGAGGTGAAGCGGGGGTGGGGTGGGGTGGGGAGGAATTCCATACCACAGGGCAGGGGACAAGGTGGGGGACGGGCAGGGTTATGAGGGGCCTGTGTGTGGAAAGAGTGGTGCATGGTAGGAAGTCCATGGGCAGAACACCCTGGGGGAAGTCACTGACCTCTGGAGCCAGCTGGCTGGCACTGCCGTGGTGGGTGGGACCTCAGGTGTGAAAGGGAGGGGGCCGGGGCACCTGAGGCCTTACCTTGCAGACACCGTGCATTGTAAGAGATTAGAAATGCTTGCAAAAAATTTAGGCTAATGGAATTAGATAAACTTCTACTGCAAAAATAAGAAATAAAAGTAAATGAAGTCCTTTATCGTAAGGAGAGATCTAGTAAGTGCGGTAAAAAAAGATGCATGGACCGTGTGAGTTGGACATGGACTCGCTCAAACAGAACAGAAGCGACTCGTGTGTATGCTCGCGTGAGGCCCGCGCACATGCAGCGGCGGCTCCAAAGAAAGAGGTCCTGGTGGCAGAGAACTGAACAAAAGAAATCCGTACTTGAAAATGTGCCTCCCTGGGGATGCAGGCAAGGGACTGGCCTTCCTGGGAGGAGGGGCACAGAGACCTCGGGATGCCAGATTTCCACCCTGGGGGTGGGCAGAGAGGGCGGGGCTTTGGCTGGCTTGCGGGGTGCAACTCCGCATACCAGGGGCCCTATGCCTTCGACCACTACATGCTCAGCTGGCCCGTGACTGCAGGGGCTGCAGGCCTTGGACCTTCCCGGTCAGTCCAAGCCAGCAGAAAGCCTGCAAAGCCTTCCCTGGGGTGAAAGGTTTCTGCCAACATTCCGTCCTCTGTAGTTCAAGCCCCAGCCACCTGTCACTGCCACTTCCCCACTTCCCATCCGCTGATCGTGAACCCCCCCCCCCAGCTCTACAACTGACTCATTATTTCGCACACCTGCGGCTCCTTCTGCAAACACGACAGGGGGTCAGCGGGCGTCCCTGGGCGTTACTGTGACGCTCCTTTCCCCCGAAGCAGACCCGCTGCTGTGACCTTACCCCTCTGCCCACTACTCCTGAAGAGGGTCACAGGCCGTCTACAGATGGGCGGTGGGTAGGCTCTGAATTCAGAGTGCGATCTCAGGCCCAGTGAAAAATGAAACTTGTCTGACCCCAATCCAGAATAAGGCAAAATATTTGATGTAGAAAACCAAAACCTTCCTCCCCAGTGCAAGCGCCAACGCACACCAGTGCCTGCCCCACCTTTCAGCCAGCCCTGTTCATGACCCCTGGCAGCCTCTGCAAGTCCCTGACAATAAGCACTTTCAAAGCATCACCCAGAGCACAGAGGTGAAGACCTAACGAGCAGATTCCGTGTTTAGACAATGCGAAGAGAGGAGTGATTAGTGGGGTTAGTGGGGGTTCCAGTGAGGCTGTGGCACCTGCCCTCCGCCCCAGACCTGGGGCACCGGGCTCAGCTCCACGAGAAACGAAGCCACACACCGGCACCTGTGCATGGGGCCGTGGGGTGTGCTCATTCACTGCTGAGCAAGAAAACTCATCTTGCCTTGAAAGCTACATTACTGCAAACACCAGTGTATGGGAGGAGACAACCCTTGCTGGCCAACGCTCCGCTCTGCACAGGCCTAGCCTGTGGTCACCTGGACAATCCCAGTGGAAGGTCAGGAGTCGGATTTTAATCCACTTTCTGACCCGCCTGGTACCAGGGTCCCGGGCCTCCCTTTTTCTCACCTGAACTCTCTAAAATCCAACAGAGCTTTTCAGAAGCCGCAAATGTACAGCCAGAGTCTCTTTGTGCTCCCTTTGCTCTGATGGCAGCTGAGACCCTCTCTGCTGATTGAGCCTAAAACAAGGGAACCAGTCTGCAAAGGAGAGGCCTCTTCTGAAGTGAGTCCTAGCAGGAGCCCGTGGGGTCTGGGTTTGTGATTCTTTCAGACCCGCCAGTGGCCTGCCATTGCGGCTGCCTCACTCAGTGTCTGTCCTGCTGAGTCTTCAAGGACATCTCGGGGTGAGTGCCACCCACCTGCCTGCCACCTGCACACAGAACCAGACAGCTCTGGTTGCCAGCCCACCAAGGGGCTCCCAAACAATGGCCGGTTCTATTCTTTGCGCCACTTGGCTTTCTTTGCGAAGGCGGCCCGGGCAGGACGGGAGGCCCCAGGGAGCAGCCGGCCCCAGTGTCCTGGCTCACGGCCACTTGCTAATTCTCACCTCTCTGCTGCCCAGGGGAGCCTCTACCCAGGGAAGGAAAGAGAAGGGGGTAAACGGCCCGACCTCTAGAGCGAGTCCTCTGCAGATGAGCACACCCCTTTCCTACAGACAAGCCCCTCTGTGCCTCCCAGGCAAGGCCCCCAGGGAGTATGCGCGAGTGGGCGCACTGCACAGTTGGGGTCACCAACCAAACCACGGACCTGCAGATGGTCAGAGCCTGGGGAAGCCTGGGGACCCTCTGACCCAGCCTCCCTGTGTTCTGCACCCCACGGTCCCCATTCTTCCCAGTGACTCACGTTCTGGGACCCACCAGGCCACATCTCGGCTCAAGGGGAAGGGGCATTTTCAGGGTCCACTGTCAATGGAGTGTGTGAGGTCAGGCCCACGAGATGTGGCCTCCTCACAGAGTGGGTGACGGGGCTAAGGCCTGACTGATGTCACAGCGGAGCTCTGTTTCGGTCTGCCACTGGAGCTCATCAGAGAGGGTTCCCGGCAGGGAGGAGGGAAGGAGAGAGGCGAGCGCGAGGGCAGGGATGGAATCGGGACAACCGACCTACGGACCCGCGGTAACTGAGATGGGGGCGGTGTGGTGGCACAGAGCACAGGCTCCTCCCGAAGGCTCTCAGACCTCACCAGGGGGCCTGGGGGGAGCGAGGGTGTGACTACTCTCGAAAGGATCACAGGAGAATGAAAATAAAAGCAATTACTGAAAAAGCAAATGACTAAGTAAGTGCTGTTTGCCCCAGAGGAACATGAGACATGGGCTCCTCCCATGGATGGCTGAAGTTCACCAAGGACATGGTGGCTTGTGACCCCACGACCCCTTAGAAATTGTTCCTCGGGATGGGCGCCTGTCCCCAGAGGAGGCATCTGCATGTCTGACTACCACTGCCTTCGAGTCTGTTCTGACGCTGCCCTTCGAGCCTTCCCTGTGATCGGGGCCCACGGGCGTCTCCACGGGGGCTCTGCCTTCCTGGAGGAGGCCGCCCCTCGGGCGCCCACCCCACGTCCCGACCAGGACGCGGGCCACTCTCTTCGGGGTGCCCACACACGCGCCCCCGAGCCCGCAGGCTCCGGCGCCGGACCTCTGGCATCCCTCAACTCCCAGCCCCTCTGCTCTTGGCGGTTGTTCTCGTGTTCAGGGCGAGACCCAGCGGCCGCGCTGCCGGACTGAGCAGCGGGCAGCACAGGCGCGAGGGCCCCCAAGGCAGGGTGTGAGGAGGCAGCATCGGACACATTTTCAATCGGTGTTAAGAACTGCAAGCATTTTCTTGTTAAAGAAAAGTCAAATAAATAATAAACTAAAAAGGAAAAAATAAAAAAGAGTGACGGAATAATCAAAGAAAACCCTTCCGAGGGGAAGAGTTTCTTTTCTGTAATAAGCTGCTTTTACTTTGTCTCTTTGGCTCTCACTCCATCGTGGGAGCCTGATCCTCAAAAGATACCCTAGCGGACTCCCTGAAGTCGGGGTGTCTCAGGTCCGAGAGAAATTTGGTGGGAGTGAGAATGTGAGTAGAACCTGTGGGAGAACAGAGGCCAGCTGACTGCTTGAACGAAGGTACGTCACAGGAGCATGCCAAGTTAGGCCTACGTTTTATGCAGCCAGCGAGGTGTGAGAAAGCAAGGTGCTCGCACACGCCCATGCACACGCACACATGCACACGCACGGCAAGGATGGCTGGCGTGCACGAAGCCGGGGAGGCCACCCAGTGGACGTCGGCAGTTGGAGCCAGGCCCTCCGTGAATCTGTGGGCCCCCTCCTCCCTCGGGGCTCCCACCCCCCAGTGGGGAACCTCAGGTCAGGGCCAAAGCTGAAGAAGGAGGGTCACCCCCAAGCCCGACTCTGACGGCTTCTGCCCAGCTGCGTCTGAGCTGAGGGTTATGCAACACACACATGCAACACACACATGCAACACATATGCCGGCAGGGAACGCAGGGAGCTTCATCCCAGCGCCTACATGACAAAGAGGGAGAAAGAGCACAGGAGGAAATGGCAGCCAGATGGGAAGCTTCAGGGAGTGGGGAAGGGAGGAAGGATGCCCATCCCCCACTGAGCGGCGGCATCTAGGAGGCGGTGGACAGTGCCAGGTCCATCTTGGAGACACCCAGCGACGGCCACCTGGACTGGCATGTAGACCCTGCTCCCTCTGAGAGCCTCCAGGGCACTGTGCTCAGTGACGCCGAAGCAGAGGCACAAAACCGACACGTCCTACCACTGAGACGAGGGGACAGTGCAGGACCCGCTGGGCAGTCCGTGCCGACAGCCTCTGGCCAATCACAGGCAAGAGGCGCCCAGGCGAGTGCCGCTCCATTTCGTTGGGGGAGACGGGACAGTGAGGAGAACATGTGCAGAGAGCAAGGCTTTCCCCAGCTCGCGCTTTCTCTTCCGGCCCTAGAAACTGGGAGCTCCCAGGGGCAGGGAGCGGGAGGGAAATCACCTGCTGCAGTAAGGCCGCTCTTACCGCTGTTTCGTGTCCTCTGGGAACCACCAAGAAATATCAGAAAGGGTGTGACCGACCCAGAAAGTAGAAGGGCCGGGCAGAGAGGGCCCTCAGCAGGGCCCAGCAGTCAGGCTGATGTGTTGGGCAGTGTCTGCCTGTCTCCGACCGAGAGGTAGAGGTCGGGGTCAGAGTTCCCCTTCTCTTCACTGATGCCAGGACATGGACAAGTCCCGCCTCATGGCCTAGATGGAGGCTGGAAGTGGGTGTTCTCAGCCCCATTTGGTGGGACAGAGGTGGCAGCCTGCAGAGGCGGGGCACGTGCCCCAGGGGACCCGCAGGGCGGTGGCAGGCGGAAAGCGAGCCTGGGGCCAGTGGGGTCCGAGTTCAGGCACTGCCCACCGCACACAGCCGCCTCTCATCCGGAGGCAGTGCAGACGGGAGGGAGGAACCCTTCGTCCCTTTAGCTTTTGCCACAGGCCAAGTCTGGCGGTGGCAAGAGACAGTCAAAGACAGAACGAAACACCGAAGCGTGGAATGGAGCCCCAGTGCAGTGAAGCGGCCCCTCCCCTCTGGAAAGCGCGCCCACTCACCTATCAGCACCTCCCACTTGCCGTTGGCCTGGGTCACCTCGTAGGCACAGCGCATCTCGCTCAGACTCACGCCGCCCAGGATGAAGATGATGAGGCGGGGGCCGCTGCGGTACTCCCCCGGGGCCTTGTTCTTGTGCCAGTGCCCGTAGCGGGCGCTGGGGGGGAGGGGCGGGGGGAGAGAGAGGTTAATGATGTTCATCTGCACTCTCCGTACTCACCGCTTCAAACCTCCCAGACTCATTAACACACTGCTCTACACACACTGACCACAGAGTAGACGCGTGGTAAGTGCTGTGAATTGAACTGCAGTGCAAAATACCAGGTGCCCTGGCTGCCTGGAGAACCACTCTGCACGCTGGGGCCATGACCGTGACCGTGTTCCTCTCTTAGGAACACGTGGGCAGCAGACCGGTACAGGTCAGCTTCACGGTTGGACACGTTGTTAGGTTCAACAGCTCCCCCAGCATGATGCTCGTTTGGGAGTCTACCCCAGGGGTCTGTTTCTCGGCCCGTCCAGGGGAGAGACTCTGCTGGCGCAGCAGCGACAGAGTCCAAAGCCTGGCTGCAGCGCACAAACACGCACCGAGAGCCCCGCTGGGCCAGGGCCTCCCGGAAAGCTCATGGCTTAACCAGGGTGAGTGGGCAGAGGGTGGGCAGAAGCAGGCCCTGACTGCGCTCATTGACAAATGCAGAGCAGGGCCGTTGAGCGCTGTCCAGGCGCCACTGGGGAAGGCTTCCCAGAAGAGGTGACCCCTCTGTCGCTGGGCTTCCTCAACAGATCTTCACCTTTCCCACGTTAAGAAAACGGAGAACACAGAATGAAATGAGGAGAGCAAGTCTCCTCTGGACAGCGACCTCTTTGCCCTTCATCCTGACTTGCAACAGCAGCAGAGCCCCGTTCTGCGTCTTGGAGGCCCTGGGGCCCCAGGGGTCCGACACAGGGGACATCGCAGTCACCCTCTGTGCCTGAGCCATTGTCCGACCTCCTGCCCTTGCCTGCCAGCCTGCCTGGGGTGCTGTTTGGGACTTTGTGTTTCACTCCAACTCTGCAACGAACACTGGGCCTGCACTGCAGGGGGTGGGGGCAGAGACCAATGTTACATGGCCCTGCAGGTCTCTGCCCCCCCAGGAGAAGGCCCGAGAGTGAAGACAGGAGGGAGAGGGCAGGAGAGGAGGTGGTGGGCACAGAGGCAAAGGCACGTGTCCTAAAGTGAGTCCTGGGAACCGCACGTCACAGAGCGCCAGCGGACGCCCGCCTGGGGCTGCTGACGCCCTGCTCCTTGATCACATGCTCACCCTGACTGCCCTCAGGAGCCGAGGGAAGCTCTCGGGTCGGAAACACAGAGCAGCACTCTGGCTCTGAGTGCCCTGCCATCTCGGGGAAGGGACCAGACTGCCCGTGGGTCAGGGAGGACCCTGGGCCACACAGACAAGGAGGCAAGAAGAGAGTCGCAGGTGAACTGCGCCTGCGGGCGCTGCAGAGTCCCAGGGGCGGGCCGGGGCGACAGCATCTGAGAGCACATCGGGGCAGGCTCCTGGTGGTCCCAGGGAGGAGGAGAAGGAGAGGGGGAGCTTTGAAAAACAGGCCTTGCAGGCACCCTGGGTGACCAAGAACACACGTATCCTGAAGCTGAGAGATGTCTGAGCATCCCTAGCACGCGGCAAAAACCTGGTACACCCGGGCTGCCAAACTGCCATCGAGAAGGGGTCTGAGACCTGTGGCTGTGTGCAGACGAAGCAATCATTCCCTTCTTAATTAATAACTAGGGTTAACCCATTAGCCCAAAGTGAAGACAATGCACCTGTTCTAGACACCAAGGATAAACAGACACAAAACCCTGCCCTCCTGAGGCTGGCGTTCTGGTCGGGCGGCCGGCAGCACACAGAGCCGGTACAATAGCGCACTGGGTGGTGGTGGCGTCGTGGAGAAAGATAAAGCGGGGGAAGGGGGAAGCGTTGTGGGGAGGCTGTGATTTTTTTCTTTATTTTCTGTGACACTCTTATTGAGTGATAGTTCCCATATCGTACAATTCACTCATCAAAGTGTGCAACACAAGAGTTTTTAGTACAGTCACAGAACTGTGAGTGATCCCCATAGTCAGTGTTAGGCCATTTTCTTTCATTTTTTATATATATGTACACACACACACACACACACACACAGAGATTTGTTGTTCCACTCATTCATGCATTCACTGGTTGATACTTGTATGTGCCCCGACTGGGGATCGAACCCGCAACTTTGGTGTATCAGGACAACGCTCTAACCAACTGAGCTACACGGCCAGGGTTTGGACCACTTGAATCACTCCCAGAAGAAACCCCATACCCATCAGCGGTCACTCCTCATTCCCCTACCCCTGTCCCCAGTCCCTGGCAACCACTAACCTACTTTATCTTTATAGATTCGCCCATTCTGGACATTTCCCATAAATGGAGCCACACAATATGTGGTCTTTTGTGATTTCTCCTTTCTCTTAGCAGAATGTTTCAGGGTTTATCCACGTTGCAGCCTGGATCGGTAGCACTTCATCCTTTTTTTGGGTAAACGCTATTCCACTGTACGAATCTACCACACACTGACTACTGTCCACCAGTGGATGGACGACTGGGTCATTTCTACTTCTGAGCCATGTAAGGGCGGTGCTGCCGGGCGCACTGAGGCACCGTAACTTTAAAGAGGGTGGTTAGGGAGGGTCGTAGAGGGTGATGCTTGATTAAAGACCTACAGGAGATAAGAGGCAAGCCACGCAGATGTGTCGGGGACAGATCATTTCAGGCAGAGGGGACAGCGCCTGTGAAGGTCCCGAGGCAGAAGCAAGCCTGGCATGTCCACGGAAGAGCGAGGAGGCTGCTGTGGCTCCGGCGGAGCAACAGAAGGGAGGAGCGAGGAACAGGCCTCAGGGGAAGAGGGGCCAGAGCGAAAGGGCCCCTTGGACGGGCGTGGTGGGGGCCTGGCCTGCGCCCTGGCTGTGCCGGCCGCGTCACAGCGGCCAGCTCAGTAGCTGCCGTCCGGCCCACGCCGGCCCCACTCCCTGCCCCACTCCCTGCCCCTCGCCCGCTCAGGGGCTCCCGCCTACCTGACAGCTGTGGTGCTGAAGGAGGCAGAGGAGCGGGTGGAGATGTACGGGTAGTGCTTGGTGTCCAGTTTGTCCTCAATTGTGTCCTGACAAGAAAAGAGAGCAACGTTAGCTTTGCCACCTGTTGGAAAAGGGATGGTGGGGACCCAGGTAAGACAACGGGAAGAACAAGTCACGCGGCAAAAACCACGGCCAGGTTTGTCACAGCCGGAGCCTTGCTGCCGCGGCCGGGGCTGAGGGGCCAGTGCTCCGTGAGGGGAGGGTGCACCGTGCGTCTGTAGGTTTGCTCTTAAGGGAAATTTTAAAAAACCGCATTGGTTTTTCTTGCTTCCCTTCCAATTCTTTTTCTCTCCCTCTTCATAGTCTATGAGAGATTATCCTGTATTCTGTCCCACAAATTCCTGACACTTAGCATCCGTCCTGTAGAAACTAGGCACCTGCAATTTCTCATGCAAGAGAACGCTTTCCACCCCCAGCTTTCCCAGGGGCTAATTACCTGGTGGGTGGCCTCCAGCTGTCCACCTCCCGCTGCCTAGAAACTGACACCCTCCTAGTGACTGCCACCAGAAGGAAGCCTACGCCTGCCTTTCTGGGGGGCTGGGGAGGAGGGGAAGGGAAAGGGGGCAGAGAACAAAGCGAATGAGACAGGCTGGCCTCGTCCGCTGCACCACGCAAAGCACTTGGTTCCTCGATGTCTCATGTTCCCTCATCACTTCGGTTGGTGAGTTTTAAAAGTAGGAAGCTGACTCACTACATATACTTACAATGCATTTATTCGAACATTCAGCTCAGTATGAACACCTGGTCTGCTATGAACGAACAAAGTGACCCTGGGCAAGTCCCTTCACCCTCAGGACCCAGTCCCGCCCACCTGTCGAGTGCAGGGTTGGATGGGTTTCTCCAGCCCCGCCCCAGGGTTCTAGAGGGGGACTCTGCGCAGGGTCTCCTTGATCTGCAGGGGAGGTGGAAGGACAGGCTGCTGCACACACACAAAACAACCACTGAGCACACAGCATGGGGCCGGGCGACAAGTCAGTTGAGGGCACAGGACCACGGTATAAAAATGTGACCCAAAACACCAAGCGGCAAACAAACACATAAAGAGCCCCCGGGCATGCGCTACAGGAGTCCCGGGGCCTCTGTGGGGCCGGGTGTCAGACAGGTCGGGCGGCGTGTGGAACGGTGAGGCCTTAGGGGACACCAAAGGGAGGCTGGGCTCAGAAAGTGGGGAGGCAGGGGAACACTCCAGACCAGGGAAGGGTCTGACCGGAAGGACAGAGGCAGCGCTACGCTTACAGGGTCTCTGGCCGGCAGGGAGCAGGGCTGAGGGAGGGGAGCAGGGGAAGGGGGGCAGGCTGGGGTCGCACCCCGGAGGCCCTTTTGCATCTGCAGGTGTCCGAGTGGCACAGCCACACCTCAGCGTGAAACTCGTTGCTCGTCAGACCTGTGGATGCTGGGGCATGAGTGGTTCCTTTAGGGGTGGGACCATCGAGGGGTCTCGAATAGGGGCCAGACCGTATGAATCGCGGGAATTTGTGCCCAGGAGTCTCTTGGGGCTGTTCTCCATAAGCTCTCAGGACAAGACCTGCTAGGAGGCCTGGAAGAGCTCTGGAGCCCCGGACGCAAGTCCTTTGGGTGTTACCGCCACCTGATAGCGGCTGCAGCAGGAGGCGTCTGGGCCACCCGGTGAAGGGCCCTGGGCCCGGCCGGCCCTCTCCACCCTCCCACCCTGCCATCGCTGACCTCCATGATGTCTTTGATGATCGGGGTCCATCGTGAGAGCTGGTAGGTCTGCTCGCTGATGCGCTCCTTCCGTTCGGGCTTGCTTCTGCGACGCAGCGTGGACTGAGGGCGAACACGACAGGGAGGTTAGACTGGGCCAGGGGCCACCTGGGGCCTGGGCGGCCTCTGGAAACTCCCCCCCGAGGACTCCGTCCAGGGAGGTGGCTCCCTGCAGGGGGACGGCTTCCCTGGAAAAGCCGAACTTACGCCTCTTTTAGGAACCCGAAGCAATGCTCTTTAAAGCCATGAAAAATGGCAAATGTGGGTTGAATATGAGTGCCATTTGATAAAATCCAGGTAGTTAAAAAAATATTTGCTGTCAATTAATTACAGGACAAAGATACCACTTTGGGTACGATCTGGCCTTTGATTTTGTTTCAACGGCACAGGACGCCCAGGAGAAACCAGCTCCCGTCTCACTTTGGTCCCTCCTGTGAGCATCGGTCGAAAAATGCCAGCTGTGGCTCCAGGACAGAGTCTTTGGCTCCAAGGTTCCCAAAGGAGGGCGTCCCCAACTCCAGCTGGACTAGCAAAGGCCCGAGCTGACTGCCTACAGGAGAACGTGCCCCCGGGGCCCTGCCAGCGAGGCTCCCGGACAAGTGCTCCGACGGGCACTTAGGCCTCTTCCTCGCCCCGAGCCGTCCCCCCCAGAGCGCACCGTGAGGTCAGGCCTCCCACGGGACCTGCCCTGACTTGGTCGGAGTCATTGCCAGTGCGGAAGACTCAAATCAGCAGGACCACTGGGCTCCTGGTGCTGCTTCTCACAGAAGCGGCTGTGCCTAGTGTCCAAAGGCAGAGCCAGACTAACCAGAGGAAGCTGGTGCGACTCCTCTCCTGGCTGGTTCCCAGACGCAGCTCGGCTTTAGTGACTGCGGACTCCTGACGTGCACGCCTGGGCTCCTGGAGCTAACCCCCATTTTACTGATGTCTCTATACCTTTGGTCCTCTGATTTTCCGTCTTCTCTCTCTCAGTGGTAACTGTGTGTACCCTACGCTGCCCACCACCTTCCCTTCTGCCCCCGCCCCACTGCCAGGCTGGCCCCTTACGTCTGTGACGATGGGCACGCCCAGGTGCGCCATGTTGGTGATGATCTCACTGTCCTCAGGGGGGATCTGTGCGTGCTGGATCAGCTTGTTCAGGTTTTCCTCGGTGATGCCTGAGCGAGAAAACCCGCGGTCACCACACCCACCACTGCGCCAGACACACACTCAGAGGTGGAGCCAATCGCGGGGTGGGGGGCGGAGAGCACCCCTGCTCCCCTCGGGGTTAGTGGAAGTGAATCTGTTCACTGCACCCACGTGACCGTTAGCTGAGGACAAGGTCAAGGCTCCCTGTCCACTCCATCCCAGGCTGTGACCACCTGCGCTGCCCCTCACGGTCTCCATGTCCCTCTCTCTCCTGTTTATCAGCCACCCCGGACCCACGCCCACGTCAGCAGGGACAAGCGAGTCTCTGTGCCCGTCTTTTTGCAGAGGACACTGATGGGCAACCACAGTGGGGGTAAAACCGTTACTTAAAGGCACAGACTACAAGTGTGGTGCGAGTTAAAAGTATCAGGCAGAAGCACTCTAATAAGGGGCCAAGAAGCTGCCCGTCCTGTCCTCGTCCGCATCACTGTGGACCCTGGAATTACGGGGGACGCAGCCTCCAGTGGGCACGGATTTGCCGACATCACAGCTCAGATACCCTTTCCATGTCTTTTCAACTACTCTTCGCCTGGTGCTGCCTCTCCTGTGGCCCGCCCTTCCTACCGTTTTTCAGAAAGATGTAGAGAAGGATGATGCGGATTTTGTCGTAGGTGCTGACGTTTGCATCCAGCAGAATGGGGACGATGGCCCTCATGGGGTCCTTGATCTTCTCGCCTTCAGCGTCCGTGCCCATGGCTAGGTCCTGCAGAAAGCACGCCAAGTTGGCCACGCTTCTGGTGGCAGTCTAGACGGGGGCAGCTACTAGGACACTGCTGGTCCGAGAATGCCGGGAACCTGCGGCGGGTGGGGGAGGCCTCGGCCCGGCAACCCCACGCTCCCAGCGCAGCACCACACACACGGGAGGGACCAGCACGGTTTCCTGGGGCATCGGTGAGAAAGAAGCTCCAGGTTCCCCTTTCCAAATGCAACAGCTGCCGTTGGAAGGGAGGCAGTTCCCCTTGGGGTGCCTGCTCCCCAAGCGAAGCTTCAATGCCCACGGCAGGTCCCCCTAGAGGGGGACCCAAAGCCCGCTGCAGGGGAAGCCCTTCCCCGACGAGGGCGGCTCTGGCACTGGGAGGGCCTCTGCCTGGCTCGACTCTTCGCTCGCTGCTTCCCCGCGCTCTGAGGGACGTGCTGTTTGAGTTATAATGACTCAGGTTTTTAGGGGCTGTTTTTAATCTTGCAAACATTTCTAGGGTGAGGAGGAACAAAGAACAGGCTCCCAAACCTGCAAATCCAACCCAGGGAGATGAAGAAGGAGAGAAGGGCTGACAAAACGACCGAAGATGGAGAGCGAAGTAAAGCACAGTCTAACGACCCCACTTCATGACTCTGGCGAGAGCCGGCCGGTTCTCAACAGGCCAGAGAAAGCGGCACAGCAGACTGGGCCCGTCGAGGACCATTTGGTCTTATTCTCAGAGACCAGCAGCTGCAACTTCCTCTGTGGCTCTTACGGAGGTTGCCTGGGGTCTCCCTTTCTCTCGAGACCCCAGAGTTCATAACAACTATGGTCTCGATTTGTGGCCTCTTCCCCACCTGGTTGGGAGGAGGGACCCCTCTCCCAGGCCCTTTCACCTCCTAGCCCACTGCCGGCCTCACTGATGTCTGCTCATCAGGACCTGATTCTAACACACTCTAAAAGTCCAATTAAACGTATCGGGTTCAATGAACACTATCTAGCACTCCTGAAACAATTTAACTTCCAAGGATTGGTCCCAACTGCCTCTTCACTGATCCAGAGATGACCTCTCCCTGGAAGGCGACCTCGTTTGGGAGAGGACACCGTGTGTCTTCTGAGACCCCCGACTCTGACGGGTGTTTGCAGGGCTGCTTCCGCTAGAAGAGCAGCAGAGAACTAAGCAGGTCTCACAACCTAAGCAGAGCCTATAGCTCACCAAACCAGCAGATTTGAACCTTGGCTTCACACTGAGACCTTGAGCTGTTTTTTCCTGTGAAAAGGGATCATTTAATGCCCTCTCTCCCCTCGGCAGCTGGCCCCAGCTGAGTGAGGTTATCATGCTAGGAGAACACAGCACCTCTGCACAACCGTCCTGGAAGCTGTGGAAGCCTCGCCGCTTCCCTTTGCAGGCCAGGGACACAGAGAGAAATGGGTACACCAGACAAACCCGAGACAGAGACAGAACTGGAACGCAAACTCCCAACTTGCAGTCCTAACTGTGATCAGTGAGTCTGTGGGCAAATTCCTGACCTGCTACCGCACTGTGCTCTGCCAGCCCTGGGGCTCCGAAGCCGGTATAGCCACAGCAGGAGGAAATACGGTCAGAATACAAGACTCAGCCAGCCCTGCCCACGCAGGGCCCAGACCCGTGGAGAGCCAGGCATGCACGTCTGAGCGGCACAGCCGTCCACGCCAGCCCACTCCCTGCCACTGGAGGGTGGCCTGGCACTGGCTCCAGAGAAGGTGGGACATGCAATCTAGTGGGCTTTCCCGGGCCTGTTTCCTATGACTCTGCAGGATGTTCAAGGTCAGAGGTTAAAATTCAGCTGGGTATACTGGCATGGCAGGGAGAGAATGGATGGCCCTACCTGCTCCACTCGGCAGAGCTTATCCACGGTGCCCTGGTAATGCTTCATGCAGTCCTCGGCAAGGTGCAGGTGGGTGGAATACTAGGAAAGAGCAGAGTTCGCCATCAAGGAGCTACTCACGCATCTGAGCAACATCTACCAAGCACCTGTAACGCACCAAAGCATCTCCAGCTTCACGAAGAAGAGGAAGCGCCTGCTGGCCGGCGCATAAACACCACAAGGTAGGGGATCTGTGTGTCAGGAGAGAGGGGCAGACCAGTGCCAAAGAGGCCAGAGGTAGAAGGGACCTTCGTGGGGCAGGGTGTGTGACAGTCCCACGGTGTATCCACAGATTCTTTGACACCCTTCCCTCCAGGGGGAGGAGCTCAGTTCCTCCCATCCTTGAGTGTGGGCTGGATTTAGAGACTGGCGTCCAACGAACAGTGTGGAGGAAGTGATGTGTGACATCCCAGATCAGGACATAAAGGGCGCTGTGACCTCCTTCAATCTCTCTCTGTCACTCAGACTGGGGAGCCAGCTGCCATGTCGTGGTACACTCAGGCAGCCCCAGGAGGGGGACCCCACCTCAGGTGAGGTCCATGAGAAGAGGGACAGGAAGGATAAAGGGGAAGAACAGAAAGTAGGCTGTCTACCCCAGCCCCCATTTTTGCCAAGTAAGAATGAAGCGGTCTGGAGCTCCGTGGGTGTCAGGATCGGTGCGTGCAGCGGGACTCTGGGACGCCTTTGGGACGCCGTTTGCACGCAGCTTCCAGTCGGCCGTCTCGGACCGCCATACCTTGCTGAGCTCTTTCTGGTACTGGGGCATCTTCTTCAGCATCTGGGACAGGTCCCGCATGGTGGTCTGAGAGGGAAAGGGAAGCGCAGGAGCTCAGGCCCACGCCCTGAGCTAAGAGGCTGTGCAAGCCTGGTGGGCGCAGGCCGGGCCAGCAGGCGGCCCAGGACCCCCAGGTGCACTCCAGGACTTTCGGAATGAGGCCGTTAAACACCAGGTCACGTGTGTTGAGGCTGCTAGGCCTCTGGCTCAAAAAAAAAACACCAAAAAACTACTGACCCACACACTGTGACTGTGTCCCCTTGTGAAGAACTGAACTCTGACGTCTGGCAATTACGTCTTGCTTATTGGACTAGAAAGTTACTGAGAGCACAGTGTTTGCCAGGAAAGAACAGGCTTTTGCTGCTTCTCTGCGTCCTTAGCTCAAGTACTCTTGGCATCAAGTTCATGTTCATCCCAGCAGCAAGGCTGCAGCTATGAGGACGGGTGGATGGTGGGAAGAGGTGAAAACCGTCTGGAATCTGCATCCTGACAGGTGAAGGGGTCTGTTTACTTTCTAACTGTGTGACCTGCCTGACCCCACTCATTTGTCCAACCAAACTTTATTGAATGACTACTGCAGGCCAGGCACTTTTGGGTGCTGGAGATACGATGACCAGAAAATAAAGTTTCAAGAAGTTCTGCCTTCAAGGAGCAGAGGGACGAAGGGATAGGAAGGAGGGAGACAGAAACGAGACCGGACAGAGTCTCTGGAGCCTGATGACACAGGTGCTGTGAGCCGTGTGGGCGGTGGGGCTTGCATCCACTGGGAACAGAAGGCCGCTGAGTGGTTTTAAGCAAAGGAGTGACAAAACCAGGGCTGCGTCTTCCCTGCCTAAGATGAGTGAGCTGCCTCTGATAAACCTCCATGATAAGAGGCCCAGGAAAGGTAGGTCATGAATTCTAATTCCTCCACAAGCTAAAAAAAGGCTTTGCAGTTCCTCCAGCTGAAAATGAATCATGATCCAAAACAGCAACTACGAATTCTAAAAGTAACAAAAAGAAGCTCTCTATAAATATCAAAAGAGGCTCTGGATCCCAATCTTGAACGCAAAAACAAGACAAAAATGCTCCTAGAGAAAGGAGGGATCAGCTTAAAGGGCACTGAGGCATTAGTGTGCTTACCTTCTCTCCCGTGTTCATCCTCTTGCTGGAGGAAAAGTCCTTCAGAGAACGGGTGACTTCCCTGGAAGACAGAAGGAGGCGGCTAAGTTTCAAAGCAACGCTGAGCGCGTGGATGCTACAGGGGTAACGCCAGAGTCTTCCATTAGGGAGACGTGGTGACTTCTCCTGCCAGCAAGGTATGCATTTAAAGTGATTTTCTGAAGTGTTTTGCTAACTAATATTCTAAACCAGGGTTCTCCAGGGTGGGGTATATGAGGTGGTTCAAGAAGAGAGAAGAAAACATTAGGACATCTACTTTATGTTTCTTTTACACCTCCTTTTCAAACTTACGTTTTTGGATATGTTGCAAAATATACACATTAGTACAATAAAGTACATATTTAGTGCACAGATAAATTTAAATACTAGAAAGGCATGCTTTCCTGAAGCTGAGTGACCCCCAAATCGTGGAGACCACTTCGGAACAACAGAGCTACCGACCCTGTTTTTTCTCACTCTTCCTGGTAAATTTCCCGACCGACAGATGCCAGCTCAATATAGCAGAATGTGTCTTTTTGTACAAACAGAATTGTTTAAAGGTCACGTAACAATGTTTAGGTACTGGAAACATTTTGAAACACTTTCAAAGCAAAGCAGGTTGCGGGATAGAGACCCCAGTTCTTGCTCAGGACTCTTAGTTATGCAGACGGGAGGGAAAGGTCCCAGCAGCTCCATAAGAGAGAACTGCATGTGGCGTCTGCATCTTTGAAAAGAAAGAACTTGCTTTACATGTTTAGTGTTCACTTTACGTGTTTAGTGTTTATAGAGCATTTTGCTGAGAGAGCTATAAATGCTTTCCCAAAATCCTAAAGCCCCCCACACAGAATGACTTTTCTAACTTCCTGAGGGTGGTGGAGCCCCAGCTCAGAGATCAGAAGGGCCTCATCCGCCCAGGTGAGCACGCTGGCGCCTTGCCGAGGCAGCGGTTCTGTGCACCGAGGGGCTCGCTCCCCACCGGTGCCCAGAGTATGCACGCTGGAAACCACACTCGGGGGACAATGGTCCCCTGAGGAGGGCAGAGGAAGGAGAGAGGCTCTTACTGGGACACTTCCGCGATGTGCTTGTGGCGCAGCGCTATCCAGAGGTCGTCGTCCTCGTCCAGGAGCACTTCCTTCACCCGCGCCTCCCCAATGCCGCTGGTCTCGTACCTACAGGGGCGTCCCCACAGAGTTCGTCCAAATCCCCTCTGGTTTACAGCAAACAAGGGTTCGCAGCAGCAAACAAGGGTTTGCAGCCCTCGGCAGACAGGCATCCACTGAACGAGTCCACAAGCCCCACAACATCTACCGTCTGCGGGGCGGCGGTAAAGGCTGCGATTCCTTGGGTAAGGGGGCCCGAAGCTCTACTCAAGGTCAACCGGCCTCAAGTTCTGTTTTAGGTTCCTCAGGGTCAGCTGGTTCGAGCACCACTTGACTCAGAGTTCCTTATAAGGGACAAAGATCATGTTTTGTCCCCCTCCCAGAAAGGACTGGGTGCCAGCCTCCAATGCGTGGTGCCTAACAGCATTTTAGCAGCTGCCCACGACAGGCCCTCAGCCTACGATGACCTGTGAAACCATGAACCTCTGCAGGAAGGCAAGAACTACAGACGCCAAAGGGAGAAGAGCAGAGACTCACTCATATTTTTAGAACCTTCACTTTGAAGCCACTATCTTTGTGATCAACGTTGTAAAATAAATCACATGAAAACAATGCAGTCTGTTTCCATCCAAATAAAAAATGTTTTTAGAAACTGAGTTTCTAATGACTGCTACCAAGGAAAATGTTTATTTGTTTTTAAGATTTCATTTTATTTATTTTTAAAGAGAGGGGAAGGGAGGGAGAAAGAAGGGGAGAAACATCAGTGTGTGGTTGCCCCTCATGTGCCCCCCACACTGGGGACCTGGCCTGCAACCCAGGCATGTGTCCTTATTGGGAATTGAACTGGTGACCCTTTGGTTCGCAGGCCGGCGCTCCATCCACTCAGCCATAACTGCCAGGGTAGGAAAGTGTTTATAATAAAGAAAACAGCTCCTCTGCAAATAAACTGGAGTGAGAAACTCCTGTTGGTGTATTTGGTCGTTATACTTGGTGATCTAAAAGTCAGAAGACTCAACTCTAAATAGGACACACACACACGCCCAAGTCGACGTCCTGACACGTCCAAGCAGGCTGTGGACCAAGGGAAAGTGAGCTACGAACTGAAGTTCTTGTTCTTCCCCAAAAGGGGCCCGAGTTCCTGGATGGAAGTGCCTGGATGGAATGTGGATTTTGGGAACTTACAAGAGAGCTTGCAGGCTTCTTGGCAAGAGTATCAATGCACCTGCTTTTCCTGGGATTAATGACACCCTGACGACAAACCAGAGGTGTCTCTGGTTCGTTTGCAAAGCCGCGGCCCCTCCGGGTGCGTGCACTTACTTGTACACATCGTTCTCAATGGGCAGCAGGTCGTAGCTCATGGCCTGGAAAGTCAGCTCGTGAAGCACGGGGGAGCTGGGGTCGAACCCGCGGTCCAGGATCAGGAGCTGGGAGCGGGCCTTGTCTGGGCCCTAGAAGGAAGGACACAGGGCAGTTTCACTAGCCACTCCATCCAGTGCTGCCTTCCACAACTCGCGTAGCCCCTCCTGTGACAGGGGGCAGCAGGAAGAAACTTGGAGGGAAAACCCAGTAAAATAGCACTGAATACAGTCCATTTACCGCTCGACAAGAATGTCAGTAAACACCACGCGAGACAGAATCCAATGTGCCTGTTTCACCATGCGGGTCCCTGGAGGCAGATCTAAAACCGTGGCTGGGGCCCGAAGCGAACTTAGAAAGAACAGAACCACCTGGGCTCCGAGACAAAGAGGCGACCCCCATGCAGTCTGCCTGGGGCCGAGTGGGTGGACGCGGGACTTTTGGTTTTAAAACCAAGATGATGAGAAACTCTGTGTTGGGCTGCAGTGGGCGTTACATGAGCCTCTGTACGTCATACAGTTAAACACACACACACACAGGCACACGCCCACACTAGTGAACGAGGTCTGGTGGTTGTACTGAGGTCCATCTTCTGGGGCTGACACTGCATCCTGAGGGTTCCCAGGATGCAGGGCTTTCAGTGCTAAGCCTGGGGGTATCCCCAAGAACAGAGACAAGCCGGTCACCCTAGCAACACTGAACAGAACCTCAAGCAGCCGGCCCATAGGCCCGAGCACTCCACAGAGGCCCATGGGCGGGAACGACGCCACTCACACCTGCTCTGTGAGCAGTGGAGCTGTCCCCAGGACTGTCACCCATGCAGGGGTCACTTGGTGAAAGAATCACATGATCCAAGTCCAGACTCACCTCCCCCATGGTTGGGTCATCAGCTTTGTAGGCGTCGAGCTTGTCCTGGATCAGCTGAGCCAGCAAAGCATTGTCCTTGTATTCCCTGACAAAGGAGGGTGACACAGGGTGAGCGGCCCTCGGGGGAGAAAGGTGGGACGGCGTGGGCAAGGTCAAGAGAGGCGTGAGCTTCACCTGCACTGTTCTTTGACAGTGAGAATACTTTCACACATTACGTGTACAGTTAAAAAGGACGCACAGAGCAAAATACTTAGCTCAGTGCCTGGAACGTAAACAAGTGACTCTCTAGTTCCTTTTTAACTATGGAAGCGAAAACAGAGGCAGTCTTTCCAAGCAGCTTCAGATGAACAACCACGGGTCGGCAGAGGGTCCTGACCACCACCCTTTTCCCACGATCGGGCCGTGTGAGCCTGACCCACCTGGTCCTCACTTCCCTCAATTCAATTTCCCCTGGGTCTTGTTTTGACACCAAGGGACGTTTTCTGCAGGCAGAGCCAGGAGGTATAAGTGAGAAGCCCTGAACCTTCCCCCACAGGTTCAGCCTGACGGCGTCCCCTGGGGCCCCACCAGCTGCACAGTGTGAGGCTGCTGCCTGCCGCCTGGCCAGGCTCGGGGCTGAAGTGCTCAGTGCCCCGCCCCACCGGCCCTCCAGTGCGCTGTTGCGGGGGGGGGTATGGCCTCGGCCCCCATTCTTTCACTCCCACCAGGCTTGTGTCAGTGCACACTAATGACAGAAGGGAGGCCCGCCCCATGCTGGGCGTCTTTCCAAGGCTACTCGTTCAGCAGACATGCGGCACCAGGATGGGCACCCACGGACCCTTGCGCTCCAGGTTCAGGCCCTCGGCTCCTCTCTGAGTGGCCCCCCCACTTCCTCCTCACCTGCCTCCTGCTCACACCCCCATCTTCACGCTCCCACAGCACCGCCCCCCAGAGTGTCCCTGGGTGGCGGCTACTAAAGCACATGACACCAAAGGTGGCATTGGGGCCTCCAGGAATGACCCTGTCTCACCCAGCTGCCCTGCGCCTACACTGTGCTACCTCTCCGTCCTCCTTAAATGTGGCCTTGGCTTTTCCCGCTCCCCACTTCTGCTAATATCAATGGCAACAGCCAAATGTCCACAGAAAAGGCCCCTCTCCTCCTCCAAACCTGACCTTCTAGACCTTCAAATGTCACCTATAGTCTGAAGCTGTTCTTGATCCTCTCAGCTCGAAGGGCCCTCGCCCCACTGTGAGCGCCCCGGTGCTGGGCTCGCCTGTCCCTCGGCCCTCGTTGTGCGGGGCCTGCACTGCGGGCCTGAGCCGCTGCCTGACCTGCCTGTTAGGCCCAGGGGCCGTGTCCTCGGGCTGCGTCCCCCAGCACTTAACACACGGCAGGTGAGTGATATGTGGATGCCTCTTAAAGCCCGAGCGATGTGTCCCTCAGGGAAACGTTCTCTTTTTATTTTACTCTGAAACGTCTTCTGCAAAGATGATGTTTGTTTGTAAACGTCAGAAAGACAAAAAACTATAGGTGACCTGGCCTGCCATTATTCGTATCTTACTCATAACTGAACACGCATCTCTCTCATGCTCTTTTCTGTATGTGTTATCAGATTCACAATAACATTTAGAAAATAACAAAACCATTGGAAGAGTACCTATGAATGCCTGACACTCAGACCCTGACCCTCTGGAGACAGCTGTCACAGGAACCGAAGGTGAGCGGAGGCGTCGGGACGGCCCCCGCGGCGCGCTGCCTTACCCCCGGTACCGCACGGCGGGGTACTCCTTCAGGGTGGCACACAGGGTGGCGATCTGCTCTGCCAGGCGCTCCAGGATGGGGTTCTTCACCTGAGCCTTGTGGGGACTGTAGAAGCTCTGGAAAGAGTCGGCGGAGTCCAGGGAGTACACCTGGGGAGGAGGCAAAGGCACCCACACGCGGTGTTTGCACCCAGAGGGCGAGCCGTCGGGGTTTTCTGCAACCCTGGCGGCGAGTCTGCGGAACACCTGTCCATTTATTCTTCTCCGGTCAGATGCGTGTGGCCTGTGTGCTGTGCCAGGCACTGCGCTAAACACTGGGAGCTGTTAGTGACCAAAACGGGACCGTCCTGGTGGAGTGTGTGAAGGGACCGCAGATGATGAAGAAACAATAAGCATAATGAAAAGTGAGTTTTATGGTATGTGAGAAACTGGTAAATGTATGAGAAAATAATAAAGCAGGGACAGAATGCCCGGGAGGGCTGTCAGGGGGGACAAGGCCTCCTTGAGAAGGTGACATTTGGACAAGGGCTTGAGGGAGGTGAGGAGTTTCTCACCAGCAGGGGGGTTCCACCCGGAGGGAATGGCTGGTGCCAAGGCCCTGAGGCAGGCCTGACTGGTGGACAGGGAAGAGGCCAGGAGGGGGGTGGGGGGGTGGGGCTGCTGTCGGGCGTCCCAGGCCGTTGTAGGTTCAGTAGGTAAAGGGTAAGCTAGACATTGGGCTGTAACTCTGCGCACATAATGGAGCTTTTTGATTTAACAATTTCATATCTTCAGCAATATGTTCTGACCATTTTTCTGTTTTCCTTCTTCTTTCTCTTTGGAGAGTTTCAGAAGTTTAACATTTTCTCTTACACTGCCTAACCTACCAGCCGTCAGTATTCTCTCAGAAGCTCACTTACGTAAACCACCCTGATCATGTAGAAAATCTGAGGGCTGTTTTTTTAAAGTTTATTACTTTTCAAAAATCTAAAAAACATGATACGTTTGGACGTGATACATTGGGGTTTTCTTCAACCCAGGTGGTGACAGGCTCACGCGGAGAAAACACATTTCCTGCGCCCAGGCCAGCCAGGAACAGGCGTCCGGCCAGCGGGCCGGGAAGGAGACGGCCTTTGACATCCGTGCTGTTCTTTCCATCCCTCCTTTGCTAAGAATAGGTCCCTCCCTGGTGTCTAGAAGCTGACCTACAAAGATCCCACAGGCCACAACCATTTGTTTATCTCTCCAAAGTGCCACCAGTCCTGTTGTTTCATTTCTTTGTTTGCTCGGAGAAGGCATCTCAGCAAACCTTACAATACAAAGACAAATTTTGTTCGCTCTCTGGCAATCAGCTTCGCCCTTCCTGGTTTAATAGCTGTGAGTTTTTCCAAGGGGGCGGTGTGACGCCGCAGCAGCTGGCCCTGGAAGCGTTAACAGCGAATGACGAAGGCCACCATCTGTTCTCCCAGCACGTGACAGGGTGAGGCTCTCTGCACATAAAAACAGTCTCCTTCACAGCAGATGGGTGCTGTCTGATCCCTTCCCACCGCTCCCTCCGGGCTCTTTCTGGATTGGTCGTTCAGGAGTCAGCCAGCTGGAGTGAACGTGGTGAGCAAGGGCAATGCGCACAGAGAAAGGCACCGCGGCTTCAAAAAGGTCAGATACAACTGGTGGGTGAGACGAGGGTGGGGCAGACCCCTAGGGTGCCCCCTCTTCCCAGCACCTACACACCCATTTCCGACGCGTGTGTAGGAACCCAGAGCACGGCGCCCCCCCGCCCCCTCGGAGTCCTTGACAGAACGGCAGAGGGGCAGTTCCACTCCCGGACGCAGCCTCACCTGGGACTCGTAGGGGAGGAAGGCAATGTTGATTTCCGTCAGCGTTTTGATGACTTTGGCTGCCCGAGATTTTACCAGCTCGTTAAACAGGGCATCTGGACAAGCTGCGAGAATGACAGGAGACACTAAGTAGGTTTTTCTGTCCTCTTGCGGGTTCATTTCAACACTCACATGTGTCTGGTGGATTCTTTAGTTATTCGGATTTTAAAAAGGCAAATAAAAAGTTCATCCCATCCTAAAACATCCACTACCTCCAGGCTACAAAAGGAATATAAAAACACCTACAAGATTCTAAAAACAGAACAGAGAGACAGTGGGCAACAAGGACTGAGATACTGAGAGCTAATAACAGCTTTTGTTACGTTGAGGAGAGGAAATAAAAGTGCAGACAAGATTAAGAGGGGATAAGGGCCCTGGCCGCTGTAGCTCAGTGGACTGAGCAACGGCCTGCGAACCAAAGGTTCACCGGTTCGATTCCCAGTCAGGGCACATGCCTGGGTTGCAGGCCAGGTCCCCAGTAGGGGACACATGAGAGGCAACCACACATTGATGTTTCTCTCCCTCTCTTTCTCCTTCTCTTCCACTCTCTAAAAGTAAATAAATAAAATCTTAAAAAAAAAAAAAACAAAGAAGGGAAAAGGAAAAGACGTGTAGTATACACGAGCATCATATATACATCCGACACGCTTATGAAAAGTAAAGACAGGAGAATCACAGAGGCGGGCAGTGTGAGGCATCTCCACGGGACCTGCTAAGGAACACAGCTGCTCAGCTGCCCTTGATGGGGAACCGCGGTGTCACATGACCCTCCTGGGCTCCACGTGGGTGCAGGGTCCCAGGATGCGTTACTGTTCCATCACCGTTACAATGTCGCTTTCCTGCTCTCTCTGCCACCCACATTCAAACAGTACAAAATCACTCTCCGCCAGCACCTTCCCCGCTGCCTCAGTGGTGAGTTTTGCAGGTTTCTCCCAGAGAGGAGAACACTAGGGAAACCGTGACTGCTGTGCCCGCTGCAGCTACCCAGCCCTGCTCCTCTCTCTGTATCAACAAAGACGCACTAAGACACTGGTGCTCTGGGCCCATGCGTACAACCTCCACAAAGAGCACAACGGCTGCCAGGGCATGGTGCAGCTCTAGCTGGGACGGAGAGGGGGACGGGGACAGGGAGGGAGGAAGCCCACTAGAGTGTACAGGGACGGCTGGAAGTCCGAATGGTGAGACACCGAGGCTGGCCTGGGTCAATTCTGCTCACCACTGAACCCTCTAATCCTGGGAGAGGCACTCCTCATCGGGAAGGACTGCATGACCTAGTAGGTCTGTACTGTGGGTGCTTGTGTGTGGCCCGGCCGTGCAGAAAGGCTGACCTGGAGGACCAGCGGCGTCTGACAGCTGTACTCACAGTCAGTGAAGAAGACATGGGCGGCCCGGTACTTCGCGGTCGGCGGGTCCTTGAAGTCATTGATGAGAGAGCGGACGGACTGTGGAGAGGGAAGAAAAAGGGAGCTGAATCCAACTCTAGTAGCAAATGGAATCTACATCTGGGCCAAATTAAATCCAAGGGGGCGTTCGAGCTGCTTGCACAAAACAGCAAGGGACTTTTCATGTATGATTCTAACTCATGTTTAGCGATAACTGGGTTCTGGGGACTTGAAATTAGGATTGAGAGTACAGACGAACAAAAGCCTCCTAGATCATCCCAGAATGACAGTGTCAGTTGTTGGAGCCACCATAACATGGGTTCCATGAGACCCACTAAAGAGGAAACTGGTCAGAAACCTTCCAAGAGTTTCATGGTGATGAAGTTCTGGCAACTTAGCTGCACCTTTAGAATCCCGCACATGAGCCAGTTTTTTAAAATGAAGAACAAGCACGAAAACCGGAGGGAATCTACGGGGGGTTGCAAGAACCCCCCCTAAGTCAGCTGTCAATCAAGAGCAAGGAGGGGGCCTTGTACGGATACTGATTTGAACCAAACCCCCAAGATGATGAGACAGGTAAATCTGAACACTGATCGGACATTGATGAAATCGACCCCAAAGCATCCAATACCTGAGTCTGGAGGGTAGATCCCTAACTAGATGAAGGGGGTTTCTTGCCCAGACAGGGAGTGCAAGCGGGGAGGGAGCCAGGATGGCCTGACACTGGCTTTCAGACAGTGGCTATATTTCAGAAAGCCTAATGCTCCCCCCACTCCTCACCCACCCCTCCCTCCCGGCTGTGGACTGCAGGCTTCAACAGAGCCGTGCGTCCCACGTGTGCTTCACCTAGAAACTGCAGACACCAAGCCAGCACGCGGCCCTCGGCCAGGCTCTTCCGGGGGGAGGACTCACCTTCTCGGAGGGAGTGATGAGATACACGGCCTCCAGGCTGGGCAGTGGCTCCCTGCACTTGTTGATGTCCTCCACAACTAGACAACACAACAGCAGCCACCGTGAGTAAGAATGCACAACCGGTCAGCACAGAACTAGAAGCAGCAGACATGGGCTGCCTTCAGACTGGCGGGGACAGAGATCTGAGGGGGCCACTGCCCCTTCCACAGGGCCACCACGGTCCACTGTCCCACACTGCTCAGGAGTCCAGAAAACTGGGAACTCGTCACACTGGATACCTCCCACTTCCCGTTTCCGTTTAAGCAAATTCCTCCACTTGCTCTAGTTGAAAATGGAAAATGTTGCCGCATTCTGGCAAGCACAGTCTTTTGCCTCTTCCTCCGGTTTCTTCCTCACCTGGTCCGTTACGATTTCCAGGTTGGGCCTATTTATCAACCACTGGATAGTTTTATCATATTCTTCTATACACCCAATGAGGACATTCCAAACGCAGCCTCTGCATTATACTGTCCCTCTCAATAGTTCCAAGATTAAACATTATAGTTTGTTAAATTGCACCAGGGGATTTTGATTTACTTGCTCTTTTATGGTCATGTCAACTACATCACCTGGAAAGAGGAGCTTTGGGACAGTTGTCACCTTACTGTCACCTGACAGAGCTTAGGAGTCACCTCCGCTGTACTGTCCTCTGGTACAGGGAGGGCAGTACCTACTATGGCGCTGTTCTTCCTCTGCAGGTGATTCAGGGAAATAAAAGCATCACTTTAGATGTATCCCTTGCAACATTTACAAAGACTTCTCGCCCCAAATAATGTTCACATTAATACCCACATCCCTCAACCATCTACTTCACCACTGGTGGTACATTTTGGAATTTCATAAGCCAAGAACACTTCTCCCTAAAATGTTTTGGGATTCAACATAAGGCTGCTAACTTCTAAATTCTGCCAGATAAGGACCTTTTTCAAAGCCACCTCTCGGGGAGGGACGTGTCCGTGTGCAGCAGGAGAGAGCCGAGCCCCCATCTTCCACGGGCAGTCAACAATGTCTACCATGGGTGAATTAGGAGAGCATGTTGCAAGTGTTGATTCAGAGAAATCAAGAAGATAACCAGAATAAGTAGCATAGGTGGTGGGGGGAAAATAGACTGGGGGAGGGCGAGAGTAGTGTGGGAAATGTAGAAGCTAAAGAACTTATGACACATGGACATGAACTAAAGGGGGGAATATGGGTGGGAGGGGTGTGCAGGGTGGAGGGGAATGAGGAGGGGAAAATGGGACAACTGTAATAGCATAATCAATAAAATATACATTTAAAAAGAAACCTCCTCAAAAAAAGAGAAGACACCCAGAAAGAGCAGAGGGGCCATTTCGGGGTGACTGGCCTGGGGAGGAGGGAGCGGGTGGGGCGCTGCTGCTCCTTTGTTAGAAACTCGTCAGCTCCGTTTAGCTCCCCGCACCCGCCACCCGACTTTGTATGTTTTCTGCTTTGGTAGAGAAAAATACTGTTTTTAAGAATTAACAAAAAAATACCTTTATAAGCTTGAAACAGGGGTAAGCCTGGCTTTAAATAGCCGAATAATAAAAAGTCACACCAAAAATCAGGCGCTCCTCTTTACGGGACTCTAATTCTGATAACAAATTGGATTTGGAAATGTGCTCTTAAAAATTAGGGAGTCAAGTTGTGACTGTAGCCCCAAAATTATATATAGTATATATTTCACCTAGAATTTAATCAACAGCATACCCGTAATATATAATTAGCATAATTTCACAATTTAAAAACCTTTTTCAACCTCAAATAATGGGAGAGACATAGTCTCGCAATAAAGGACGAACCTCTATGTTAAACTCACTGAGCTCAATGAACACCTCGTGTCTTCCCTCCTGGGACTGGCGCGGCCGAGATTCTGACCAGGACCAGCCATAGTGTGGAGCTGTCTCCAGGGGAACCCACTGGGGGCTGCATCCCACCCAGCACTTTTTAGGGGAAAAACAAAGGTTAACTTCTGTGTTTGAAATAACACCTCAACAGAGATTGGTTTTCAGCCCTGGCTGGTGTAGCTCGGTGGATTGCCCAGCGGCCTGCGAACCACATGATCGTGGTTGATTCCCAGTCAGGGCACATGCCTGGGTTGCAGGCCAGTTCTCAGCAGGGGATGCACGAGAGGCAACCATACATTGATATTTCTCTCCCTCTCTCCTTCCCTTCCCTTAAATAAATAAAATCTTATTTTTTTTAAAGAGAGAGACTGGTTTTCAGTCAGTGCAGTTTCAAAGGTCGTGCGGCACGGTCCGTCTCAGAGGAGCCTGAGTGGGACGAGAGCCGGGTCTGAGTCCCAGTCCCGGCTGGGGCACTGGCCAGGGGCCCTGAGCGGGTGATTTGTAAAAACCTACTCACTGTGAAATTGTAACACACGTGGTAGAGATCGAGTGAAACAAACGCAGAAATAATGATGAAGCAGATGTCTAACAAGCACCAGGCAGGTTAGGAAGCGGCGCCCCCAGGGCTGCAGAAGCGCCCCGCCCCTCCCTCAGCAACTGCCCTCCAAAGAGAGCCGCTGTCCGAGGACCAGGGGTCCCTTCTCTTCAGCACTGTGCCGCTCTGTCTGCATCTGAAGACAGTGTGGCTGTTTTGCCTGGACTTGAACTTTATCTAAGTTAGAGCACACTGCAAGTACTTCTCTGTGTCTTGCTTCTTTTGCTCCCCAATATGGTCATCAGACTCACTGATGTGAGTGTGTAGTCGGAGGTCATTTTCATGGGCGTAGAGCATCCTGCTGCCGACCCCGCCACGATGTAGCTGACCATCCTGCCCCTGACTGACCATCCTGCCCCTGACGGACTTGTTTTGGGTTGTTTCCCATTTGGGGCTCCTGTAAACACTGCCCTGGGAGCCTCCCTGCGCCTACACCGGGCACACACGCCTGAGTCTATCTAGGGCACACACCTGACCGCAGACTTGTGCACTCACAGGACGGTGCCCACCTTCAACTCTATGAGACACTGCCAAGTGCTTTTCAAAGTAGCTGTGACAACTGACACCCCATCATATGGCAGTTCCCCCTTTTCCACATCCTGTCACTTGGCATTATCAGAGTTTAAATATTCCAGTCTTACTCTGATTTTAATTGTACTTCCCTGGGTGAACAATTTTTCATGTATTTATTGGTCATTTTGGATTTCTTCTTTTGTTAAGTGCCTGTTCAGGTCTTTCGCCCATTTTTTTTCTCTATTGGATGGCCTGCCTTTTTTCTTGACTTAATCTTCCTTTTGGCATCCTTTCACACATAGTTAACAAGCAGCTAGCAGGGGAATAGGGATTCAATGATGAACGAGAAGCTCTGGGTCTCTCTTAGGAACGTACAGCCTTACCACCCAGGTTGTTGGAAGAATCTGAAGTCAAGTGAGATAATGCTGAACAGGGAGGAGGAAAGCCGGGCACACAGGGACGGCCTGCGTGGCGCCGAAAGGCAGAAAGAATGGCGTGCTCACTTGTTATCCCCTCGGTCATGATGTCCGTCATCTTACAGCAGGAAGACAGCATCCTCATGCTCAGCTGATCGACCACCAGCACCTGGAAGCAGAGAGACCAGCTGACGGCGTGAATGGCACCTTCCCCCTCCTCTCACTGGCTGACCGCGTCAGACTTCAACGAGGGCCCAGAAGTGCAGGATACTGAGTTTCCGAAAGGCACGCTAGCTTGCTTTCTCCCACACGCAAACCTAACTTGGGAGTTAAGAGTTTGCTCTCACTGACTTGACTTAATCTTATATGCTTAAAAATTCAAACTTTTAATTTTTCATGATGATGAGAATAATCACTCATAAAAAAGCAAAGAGCGGGGGCAGGGAAATAATCTATAGACCCATACACAGAGAAAACTACACTGGAGAGTATTTTGGGGGGCATAACTTCTCCTTAAAGGGAGACTGAGCTCTCCCGCCCCACGGACGGCCGGGAGGTGGGGGCTGCTCCCGTGTCACAGGGACGCACCCCCAGCAGCACACACATCAGGGGTAAACTGGGCTTCAGTCCAGACGGGAGGAACCAGAACATGCGTCGCGTCTAAAAGCGGCACGCCTGCAACTCTCTAGCTAACCCTTCCTTGCTGCATTCAGCCCACAGTGGAGAGAGGCGCGCAGTGAAAACAAAGCTAGTTCCCCTCTCCTTCTGTGATGATATAAACCGAGGTGACAGGCTAGACACGACGTGGCCCGCAAGGCGTCCTGCTGCAGTATAAGGCCTGTTCGCATGTTACGGGGCAGCTTCCTCAACATGCTTTTGACATTCCTATGTCCACGAAGACGGGCATAAGGAGCTCCCACCAGATGGACCCCCACTCCGGTGGTGGGGAGGACGTGCTCGTGAAAACAGGCTCTCCTCCCAGGCCGGCCACACCTCTGCGGTTCCCAGCCCAACGGACTTGAAAACGTGTGGGCTCCTGACTGCGGGAAAACTTGGGGCAAGAACGGCTGGAATAAACTCTTCGATAACACACAGGGAAGTTCAGGCGGAACCGCATGCTCTCCTGGCCAGGCAGGTCCCAGGGCCAGACAGCCCGCAAGTGACCCTTACAACACTGATCCTGAACGAGGGACAACGTGCTGTCCCACTCCTTGCGTCGCCCCCTCCAGACACTGAGGCCATAATCAGTTCGATTGGCTTAAATACTTGTTTCATGTACATTATACGTGAGATACGGAGCATTGCTCTCGAAGTGACATGAATAAACACGCGGTTACTGACATGGGGACAGACCGGAAGAGGCCTCTCACGCCGTCTGTGGGCCCCGTGGAGAAGCCGCGGGGCTGCCAGCGGGGCCAGAAGGGCCTGGTCTCACTCTCCCGGCGCAGGCAGAACCCCCTTCTTCTGTCCACACACACGGGCTCCAGGGAAGACGCTGTCTGAACAGAGGAGTCCCACGGCCACACCGCCCCACCGGGTCACCTGTCAGATAAGCTTTCCGGCCAAGAGATTGCATAACCCGGATCACATAAAATGAGAGGCACAAGCAGATTACGTTTCTTCTCCTTGTATCCTCTGGACACAACGGAGGTCTTCACTCCCTGCCTCTACACCTTTTCCCAACCCGACGCGACATAGACTCGCCTTCGAAGGCCATTAACCATCCTGTTCGACTTACCTTCCACTCCCCCTTCTTCTTCACCTTCTTTATCACGTCATGCATGATCTCTAAAGGACAGAGAAAGGAAGGGAGGAAGAAAAGGAGGGAAAAGGGGAAATTTAATGTGATTTCAAGGACTCCCAACACCTGCCCATTACAGTAGGTCACCTTTCTCCCCATGGGCTTGGTTCTTTGTTCAGCCCACCTGTTCCCTGAACTGTAACCCGCCCACCGTGAAGAGCGCTCTCTTCCCGGCTCCTCAGCGGGTGGTTCTCCAAGTCTGGATCTCAAGACTACTTGACACTTTGAAATAAGAGGTTCCCAAACAGTGTTTGCTTATGTGGGTAAATCTCTATTGATATTTACCATGTTAGAAATAGCAAAACTGAGACATTTTAAAGAATCCATTCATCAAAATAACAATAACCCCATTATATGTTAATATAAATAGCATATTAATGAAATGTAGCTATATTTTCTGCAAGAAAAAGGTTTGAGTGAGAATAACGGCTTTTTTCCCTCCTGTCTCTGCAACCCTCTTTAATGTCTGCCTTCGTAGAAGGCAGCTGGGTTCTCCCATCTGCTCTATAACCTGTTACCGATCAGACAGCACCCAGAGAACCCCACTGTGCACCTGTAAAAGAGTAAGAGTAAAAAAGACCAGTGGCGCCTTATTGCTCTAATTAAGAAGATAGTTTTGACCTCACAGACGCCCGGAAGGGTCTCGGGTGTCAAACTACTGCCTTCAGTGACGTGAGTAAATGGCTGCAACACCTCAGGCCGCATAAGCGCCGACCAAGCTCCAAAACCAGACGAGCAGCTGCGAAGGCGTCCCAACCCTGAGCACATCTGTGGGGTGTTCTCAGCCCAAACCACCACTTGGTGAGAGCCCCAGTCTCCAGCACCCCCTCACGCACCCCCCCACAGGTGTCCCCAGCCACACGGGTTTCCTAGGAAACACCACTCTCGCCGAGGTTTCTGAACCCAGGCAGCAAACCGGGCCTGGAAGGACTCAGAGGCCGGCAGTCATCACTAGAACAACATTAGTGGGTCTCAAACACGTGGGTCATTGTCGGGAGCACAGCGATCCCCAGGTCTGCTTTCGGCTGACTTCAATCATCTGACGTGCACTACAAAGTTTAACAACTGTATTCCTGACTATAAAAACACACTCACTGCAGTAAACTTGGAAAACAGAAAAGTATGAAGAAGAAAATACCACATATTGCTCATGTACTTAAAAAAACATCAAAAAGAAAAATCATCTGTAATCCTGCCTACTTGAAATGCTTAATTAACATTTTAGTTACTTCCTACTAGCTTGATTATACCCTTTTTTCAGTTAATAAACCCATTTCCCCAGGTTGATAAAAATGCTTCCTAGGATTTTAAATGCGAGCATAATAGTCCACAGTTTAGTCAACAATTTTCCCAATAGCCATTTATTTTCCATGTTTCAGTGCAGTGAAAAATCGGAAACAAACACATCCAACGACAGAGCCGTTATAAGTAGGATACATTTGTACAATGGAATACTATACACTCACTAGAAATAATGCTCCGGGAAACGACACGGTCACGCATTCACTCTTTCATTCAGTAACACCTGCAGGGCGGCCACTGCTTGCCAGTCATTGTGCACTGGGCACCGAGTGGCATCAGTGGGAAGGCGGGAGGGGGCACTGGTGGGCTTGGAGGTTTGGTGGCAGAGGTGAGGGGTGTCCTCGCTGCGGGGGAGGTCGTCAGTTGAGAGTGGGCAGAGTGGAATTGCATACGGAAGGTTTGAAGAACGAGGGTATCGACTATCTTCCCAAAGGTCGGGAAAGTGAATTTACTGCAGAGGCGTTGTGGCATTTCTGGGCAGTATAAAGGGCTAACTGAGGTTCATGACCACAGATTTAATGGGGAAGCAGGCAGCTCAAAAAATTGTGTGATTTTTTTTCTCCGAATAATGTTCGGCTGTCCCAGTATAAGCCAGGAAGGAAAGAAGAGCAGGTTTCAACTAAGGTTGGAGTCTCCCCAGGTGAGTCCAGCAGAGGGAGAGAATGCTCACGCTGTACGGCTGCAGGGGAGAGAGGCGTGTTACAGCTGGTTTGTGAACAGTGTATGTACACAGGAAAAATCAGAAAAGCTCACATCGAAACGTTATTTTTGTGCAGTGAAATTACAATTAATCTTTAATTGCTAAATTTGTCTTCCTATGTTCTCCCAAGCTTTCTGCATTAAGTACATATTATTTTTTGTAATAGAAAAAATGGCCTAAAAATAATATGTCAGTGAATAACTCTGGGCCTAGAGCTTTTCTTCACACCAATTATGTTAGGAGGGCTTTCTGAGTATGAAATACATAGGCAGAGTATGAGTGTCCTGGGCTCTTGATAAATTCTGCTGAATGATTTTCCAAAAGTACAATTTATACCTTCACCAGTACTTTGCATGACTCTCCAAATTAACATACTGACTGGTGAAATAATACCTTGAGGTGTGCTTATTTCCATCTTTGCTAATGCGTCAGCAGAAAATGGTATATTTCGATGTCTTTATTTAAATGTATTTTACAACCGGAGATTAATATTTTGTGTCTTTTTCTCTGCTACTACACAAAATTAATTTAAATTTACTGACTTTACATTCAAGTCACTTTTCGACAGGGGATGCCAGAGGTGTAACAAGCAGTGAGTGAAGACGGAAATGAGGGGCCAAGACTCTGACCCCTCCCACCGCGCTGCGGCCGTTGGGGTGTCTCCGCCCACACGGGGTCCAGCGGAAGTAATGCCTGCATGAGTGTGGTGGGTGGGGTAATAATACAGGTGCAGTAATTTACAGTTTTAATTTGCACGTTTCACCCAAAATGCCACCCGGTGTGCTTGAGTGTGATAGTGTTAGGCTACAGAATTACATGCTTATGATTTTGTAATAAAAGGGGGCATTATTTGTGCTGGACCCTGTGTTTGCCATGGGCGTTGTTAACAGCCAATTCTAATCGTGCCCTACATTTTTCTAATCCAATACCAAAAAGGAAACAGGATTAGAGCCCATTTGAGCATTAAGAGTCAAGTTGCTTAGGCTCCTTCCCCACGAGTAATCCCCTGGCCACCAACTCCATCTCTTGTAAGTTCTGTGTGTGTGAAGAGAATAGGGGTTCTGACACCGGTCTGGGCAGCGGGTCTTATTTCTGCCAAATCCTGTGCACCCACAGCGGCAACAGCGCTCCCCCGCCCGCCCTGTCTGCACAGATGGGACGAACGAGCCCAGGGAGCTTCGGCTCCTCCATAACTGTGAGGGCCACGGCCCGGGTGGACTCTGCGTCCAAAGGGGGAAGAAAGTAGGCTCCTTCTCAAACACCCACTTCCCGTCCCAGGTGACTCCCAAACTCAACAAAGCCCTCCCAAATCCTGAGAAAAACAGCAGATGGTCTCAGATTACCTGGGACATCTCCAGGTGCACCCGACACACCACGGGGAGGCTCAAAGCGCAGATTCCAGGGATAGCTGCAACCCCCGCCCCCACCTTGTGAAGCCCATCCATACCGCCTTGGCACGCATGGACACAGTGAAACGTATCAGGGCCCCCGAGCCCAGAGCACACCGGAAGCTTGGGAGACATTTGAGCATCACCACAATCCTCAAAACCAAGGGGGATTCAAATACTCCACGTCCTGCAGCCCCAGAGCTCCCCGCTGCCCTGAACAGACGCACCAGGAGTCTGGCAGCCCCAGGCTGGGAGGAAAAGGGCCTTCCTTCTGCTGAACCGAGGTCACGACTGCCCTCCCCTTTTACTAATCCAGGTACCCTCTCCAATAAACCCCAGTAGGGCGAGGGTAAACCTAGTTCCTCAGGCAAAGGTTACCCCAGGTCCTCAGGATTGAGAAAAACCACCAAGGGGAAGCACTGAAGTCAGACAGATGGGAAAACCGAGGTTTGGGCACTTGCTGGCTATGCCTGAACCTTAGGCAAGTTTGGAATGTTGTAAACTTCCATTTTTCTCATCGGCAAAATCAAAATTATAATACTCTAGTGACATGTTGTGAAGATTAATGAGATAAAATGCCTAGTATATACAGTGCCCGACACATTTGAGGCATTCAACAGAAGGCACTGATAGTATCACTATTAAACTGTTCCTTGTACAGACAAGAAGATTATGATACATCACTTCCACCAATCAAAAATTTCCATAGAGCTCTGGCCAGTGCAGCTCAGTTGGTTGGGTGTTGTCCGCAAAGCAAAAGATTGCTAGATCGATTCCCGGTCAGGGCATTCGCCTGGGTTGTGGGCCAGGTCCCTGGTTTGGGGTGTGCTGGAGGCAACTACTGGATGTTTCTCTCACACATCAGTGTTTCCCTCTCTTTCTCCCTCCCTTCCTCTCTCTAAAAATGAACAAATAAAAATCTTTTTTTAAAAGGATGAATCCTATCTCCTGCTGAGGGAACAGAGCGACCTCTGTTTATTTAGGGAGAGATGTGTTAACGCTGAACCACAAGTAGGGTCCATAGAAAGTAAAACACTTAATGTCACAACGCAGGTCCACACAACCTTCTTTTTAATTTGCTGTTATTTAACACCATTCTGAAAATTCACTAAGACAGGAAAACAAATGAGGTATAATACTGGCAAGAAAGAGGCAGAATCTCTGTTTCAGGAAATCATGGGACTTAACTGACAAACTATTGGTAAACATATGGAGAGGTGGCAGATACAAAGTGACTACAAAAAACCAACAGAACTTTGCCATGGCAACCGTAACCACTCCACTGTTTCCCGGAGTGCACTGGGCTGGGACCCGGGGACCCACCCCCTGACCTTTCTAGGGGCAGCTGGCAGTTCTGCCCCGGGGCCACAGGAAGCCTGTCCCTCCTTCCCTGCCAGCACGCCAGACATCCGAAGTCGGCAACCAAGTCTCTGGGTGTCTTGCTCTGGGCTGAAGATGATTCTCTTTGCTTAAAAATGAACAAAAATGCATTTTTTCCAGGTGGAATAAGATAATACTACACAAGACAGGAAGAAATGGTTCACACACTGGAAAACAAGCCTTCCGAGAACTCACAAGATCCCTCCCCTAAGGATAC